TGACAGCTCACAGCAACTCTACACAGTGCATCAGGACAGGATATGTAGAATGCCATATCTACTTAATGTAAGTAATGCAATTGATGTCTTGACTCACAGGGTTGCTAGCAGGTGGATCCCCCTACTGAATCATCAGTTGCAGCATATAGGGCCAGCGTTCTTTGGAGATGTCCCCTGCATGGGCTGACCTTGCCTGACTGTGCTTAGCTTGTGAGCACCAACGGGTGGCAGAGAGTCTTGATGTTACATCTTCCATGAACAAAGGGTTTTATAAACCCATGGCTAATTTGTGTTGCTTTGTGTATGGGTTAGTAAGCTGGGTAGCCTCACTTATGTTGGGCTGCCAGTGACACTGATTGTAGTCTCTCAACTCCAGGCCTGAAGGGTGGGAGTGTGTCTGCTGCTCGTTTGAGGAGGAGACTTGTGTGCAAACCAGATGCTATATTCAGGAATCTAGCTTCTCTCCTCCTAGTGCTTTCAGGAGGAGCTCCCAGCTGGAAGCTGGCCTGTCGTGCCCTTGATGTGTCTTAGTTGATCTGTCATCCCCTTGGTGTGTGTCATGCATTGGGGACTGAATTCTGAAAGCATTCTGTTGCTGTGAAGTTGATCTAAGCCTTGATTGCACCTGCTGGCCTCCAGCTCCTGGAGAGGGACCTGGGTTTACATAACCTGGCTGCCTTGCCTTGGCTTGAGCATGACTGCAACACCATAGAAACAGTCTGCGCTGTATTTGTATAGAGGACTGCTTTTGATGCCTTGTTCCTCTAGCCCTTTTTAATCATGTTTGCACACTGCAGGCCATTGCAGGCTATGGTGATTGTCTTTGAAATAGGTGAAAGATCCCTCAGAACAGAGGGGAGGTGTTGGGGAGACAGCTTGTGCTGACGTGGGGAGAACAGAGCTGAGCCTGTGTCTGGAAATGGGGATGGCTGTGACCTTGCTGAATTTCCCAGTCAGAGGGGGCAGTCTCAGGAGAATCGGTCAGTCATGAGCTCAGTCCTGCAGGCCACTGAGACAGCACAGAAAGCTCCAGGGCTTGAGGGGGAAGGGAGCAGCTTGCATCGAGCTCTGTGTGCCTCTCAGTGTGGAGCTGTCTGCCTTGGAAGGGAGCCCTGGTGAGCTGCTGTCTGCTAGAGGGACTGTCTCCTTCTCTCATGGCCTTTGACAGGCTGGGAGATGCTGGGACCCCACGGAGGATCTCCTGATCTAGCTGCCTGTGTCCTTGTTTCCGTGGCTCCCAGGAGATGGTTGTGCAGCGCATTGAGCCCCCAGTGGAAGGTGCGGAGTTACGCGGTGGGTACAGCCCCCTCAAATGAGGAGTGTGTTGCTCCCGCTGAGGGTAGTTCTATGGGATATGGGCCCAGGAAATCAAATGGACTATGAATCATAGAATCATAGAATATAAGGGTTGGAAGGGACCCCAGAAGGTCATCTAGTCCAACCCCCTGCTCGAAGCAGGACCAATTCCCAGTTAAATCATCCCAGCCAGGGCTTTGTCAAGCCTGACCTTAAAAACCTCTAAGGAAGGAGATTCTACCACCTCCCTAGGTAACGCATTCCAGTGTTTCACCACCCTCTTAGTGAAAAAGTTTTTCCTAATATCCAATCTAAACCTCCCCCACTGCAGCTTGAGACCATTACTCCTCGTTCTGTCATCTGCTACCATTGAGAACAGTCTAGAGCCATCCTCTTTGGAACCCCCTTTCAGGTAGTTGAAAGCAGCTATCAAATCCCCCCTCATTCTTCTCTTCTGCAGGCTAAACAATCCCAGCTCCCTCAGCCTCTCCTCATAACTCATGTGTTCCAGACCCCTAATCATTTTTGTTGCCCTTCGCTGGACTCTCTCCAATTTATCCACATCCTTGAAGTGTGGGGCCCAAAACTGGACACAGTACTCCAGATGAGGCCTCACCAATGTCGAATAGAGGGGAACGATCACGTCCCTCGATCTGCTCGCTATGCCCCTACTTATACATCCCAAAATGCCATTGGCCTTCTTGGCAACTAGGGCACACTGCTGACTCATATCCAGCTTCTCGTCCACTGTCACCCCTAGGTCCTTTTCCGCAGAACTGCTGCCTAGCCATTCGGTCCCTAGTCTGTAGCTGTGCATTGGGTTCTTCCGTCCTGAGTTCTGGCCAGCACTGGGATCTCTGGCTCAGGAGGTGCTCCTGCACTGCACAGTAGGTAACTTGTCCTCACCTGAAGTGCAGCCCAGTAGTGCTCAGACACAGAGTGGGATTAATGCACTGCATGGAGTAGGTGGGTCCTTGGAGCTCAGCCGCCTCTTACCTGGGTGCAGGAGTGCTCTGCCCTTCAGCGTTCCTGAGGCTTGGCAGTTCCCTTTGCAGGATGCAGGGTCTCCCTCCTTCTGCACAAAGAGTCTTTGTAGTGGTCCTGGGGCAGAGTATAAAGCATGCTGCAGTCTCCTTTGTTGGATTTGCTCTTTTTTGCTGCCACCGAGCAGGATCCAAGAGCCTTGGGGGAGAACTCCTGTGCTAGGTGGTTCAGCGAGGAAAGTCCCACCATAAACCTCTATGGAGGGTTCAGACCCAAGCTCAATAAGGAAAGGAATCTGACTAGCTTGATAACTCCACTGGGTCATATTTCACTGCTGCCAATTGGTAGGGCAGCTAGGTCAGAGGCAGCATGATTTGGGGACAGTGGCAGGAAGGAAGTGATGGAGAAAATGACAAACTATGGAATGCAGGCGTGAGGGGCCTGGAGAAGCAAAGGATTCCAACCTCAGCCCCAGAAAAGAACTCTGCAGGGTTTCTGTCCCTCATGCCCATATCACTGTAATATCTGGACACTTGAAAATGTGTTCGACACCCATTGCGGTCACCACCTATGTCCCACTGTTGTGGGTGCCTTAAAATTACATAGGGGGAAGAGGTGGATAAACAGGACTGGTAGCTTTGGAGAGGGTATAGACTAGAGAGTGCTTCAGGGCTGACCAAATCTCTCTAGCCCTAGGGATCCAGTAGCCTCCTGAATGAACCTCCCTGTTGATCAGGTCAGCAGGCTTTGATCTGGAAGAGGAATCCACGTTGCTTTACGGGGAGCCTGCCATCTCTCAGCATCAGCCTATTACTTTCCCCGGCCTGTGACAGAAGGGGTGATGGTGGCTGGAAGGAGTGGGTGGTGCTGAGCTGCTCTGTTCCACATTCAGAGGAACATGGTTTTTAAAAAGTCCCCACAAGCTGTGGTAACTGGACAGCACACAGCAACACTACAGTTGTTTAGGGCAGGAAGTGAGGAAAAACCCGTATCAGTGAAAACCCCATGGGGAATTCTCGGCCAGAAGGCTGGAATTCCCCCTGTGGAGTTGGGCAGGGACCCCAGGGGTAACTCTTGCGGCAAGTCCCCTGGGATCTCTGAGCTCACCACCTCATTTGAAATGCAGCATTTCAAGCAGCACCAGGCTGGGATGCTGATTCAGAGGGAGGAGTGCCCTCTATTGAATCCACTACTCATTTCTCATTGTATAGTACAGCCCGTACAGCACGGGTAGGCAACCTACGGCATGCTGCCAAAGGCGGCACGCGAGCTGGTTTCCAGTAGCGCTCACTGCCCGGCTCCTGGCCACTGGTCCGGGGGGCTCTGCATTTTAATTTAATTTTAAATGACACTTCTTAAACATTTTAAAAACCTTATTTACTTTAAATACAACAATAGTTTAGTTATATATTGTAGACTTCTAGAAAGAGACCTTCTAAAAACGTTACTGCATGACTGGCATGCGAAACCTTCAATTAGAGCGAATCAATGAAGACTCAGCCCACCACTTCTGACAGGTTTCAGAGGAGCAGCCGTGTTAGTCTGTATCTGCAAAAAGAACAGGAGGACTTGTGGCACCTTAGAGACTAAGAAATTTATTTGAGCATAAGCTTTCGTGAGCTGGAAATGGCCCACCTTAATTATCACTACAAAAGGGGTCCCCCCCCCCCCCCCCGCTCTCCTGCTGGTAATAGCTCACCTTACCTGATCACTCTCATTACAGTGTGTGTGGTAACACCCATTGTTTCATGTTCTGTGTATATAAATCTCCCCACTGTATTTTTCACAGTATGCATCCGATGAAGTGAGCTGTAGCTCACGAAAGCTTATGCTCAAATAAATTTGTTAGTCTCTAAGGTGCCACAAGTCCTCCTGTTCTTTTCACTTCTGAAAGGTTGCTGACCCCTGCTGTATGGTATAGTGCCAAATAGGACACAAGCCCAACCCCCAGGAACTTACAGTGCAGTGATGCCTTCTTGGAGTGCCTCTTCCCCGTCCGCATGCAGCTGCCCAGGACACTGATTAAATGGATCCAACTGACCCTCCTAGATGAGGGAGAGGGGCTGCTCTAGTTTGGACTCCACAGCCAGGTTCAGCTCAGGGCAGACCAGTGTGCCTGTGAAAGGCAGCCCCGCCTCCTCGATGTCAGACTTTCAGCGCAGCTCTCTTCTGCCAGTCTGGCCAAGCGAGATCTTGCAGCTCTTCTGAGACAGTAGGGGAGGTCCCTTGGCCTGAATGGGAACAGGTGCTTCTGCTCAGCCTGTTACCCTGGGCTCCCTCTTCCGTTGCCTGCCTTCTAACAGCTGCCATGAGGGCTTCTCTAGGGCGGGTTTCTTCACGTCTTTTGGAAGATGGTTATGCTACTCAGTGCTCTGTGTATATAGAAAGGGGCTCTGTCATAAATGCTGGCCACTGCTCCCTGCTGGCCACTCTAACTCTGAGCCACGCTTGTCTGTCTGAATCCTGCCAAGTACTTGGCATGTTAGATAGGTAAGAAGCTAAGCTCCCTGCCCTGAGGAGCTGACAGTCTGGTGGCTTTGTCCTTTTCATGTACAGCCCCCACAAGAGCTCTGGACACCTGCTGCGTAAGTGATGTGTGTTTGTGTGGGGAGAGAGGCTGGGGGAAGAGGAAATGGGTCAGCCTGCATCCTCCTGCTCCTGAGTGGGCTGCACAAGTCGGCTCCAGCTAACCATTGTGTTCTCACCTTCGCCTCTTGCAGTTTTGTCAGCCGAGCGGTTGGCAGCTCTTCACCGAGCGGAATCCCCCCACCTTCTTCGTTGCCGTGCTGACGGACATCAGCTCCGAGCGACATTACTGCGCCTGCTTCACCTTCTGGGAGGCCGTTGAGAGTGCCCAGGTAATGCTCCCCGCGGGGGGTGGGGGAGGGCAGGGTACCTGTGAAAGTGTGTTGGGGGGTGTCGCTGGGCAGGCAGCTGTGAGCGAAAGCCCCTTTTGAGAATTGCAGTTGCCCAGGTTGGTTGTACCCAGCACTCCTTTGTCAGAGGAGGGCCACAGTGTCCTGTAGTTCTTGCCTCACATGGTGGAGCAGCTGTCTGAGGTGGGGGCGGGGGGGTGTCCGTCCCCTTTCAAGTCCCTGCAGTGTGTCTGATCTGTCTCTCTCCCCGGTCTCAGAGCCACTCAAGGAACGGTGAGGAGGAGGAAGAGGCGTCGGTGTCCCACGTCCAGCCTGCACAGCTCTTTGCTCCCAAGAGTCTGGTGCTCGTGTCACGACTGGACCACACGGAGGTTTTCCGGGTAAGCGGCAGTGCAGTGCCACGTTTGGGGAGGAGAGGGTGGTGTCTGGACTCTCTGGGGACGGAGGGACTTTCCCTTGCATTGATTCCTTGGCCACTGTCAGCCAACTCTTCTGCTTCTGTGAATTGGGGCATATAAGAGAGACCACCGGTAGCAGTAGTGCCCTGAGGGGTTTACGGCTATGGTGTCTGCTCTGGCCTTCTGCTCGTGTCCAGCAGCTATTCAAGGCCGTGTGTGTGTGTGGTGGCTTATTCTCATCCTTCCCCAAGCTGTCTGGCTGCGGAGCTGCAAGGTGAGGAGCTGCCTGGGCTGGGCAGCTGGCAGCCTTGCCCTGCCTCTCCGTAAAATTCTAAGCACAAAATGTTCTTGGTGGAGCCTTTATCTCCCATCTTTATATTCTTCATGCTTGCTCAGTTATGAGACTGTAAAAGGCTTGGAAAGGTGCAGGTTACAGCCTGGCTTGTTGTCAAAACTCAGCTTAGGTGGGTATGATCTAAGTGTCAGCAGCTCCTCGCTTGCCAAGACAAGCATGGGATCCTTGTGGCTGGATGGACTGTCTGATCTCTCTTGCCATTCTCTTCTTCAGCTCTTGGTCCAAATGCAAAGAGCATGTTGAAGTCCACAGAGCTTTGCCCTTGTACTGTGAGAGGGGGACCGGCTGTGAAGCGGTGCTCACATGCCATCTGTCAGCATGCCTGCTCGAGACACATTGGTAAATGGCAGAGACTAGAGACTAGGTAACTGGAATGCGTTACCTAGGGAGGTGGTAGAATCTCCTTCCTTAGAGGTTTTTAAGGTCAGGCTTGACAAAGCCCTGGCTGGGATGATTTAACTGGGAATTGGTCCTGCTTCGAGCAGGGGGTTGGACTAGATGACCTTCAGGGGTCCCTTCCAACCCTGATATTCTATGATTCTATGACTGTTCTCATCTTCAGTGGGAAGGTGCATCTATGGAGACTGCCAGCCCTGGTACCTGGTGTAGCCAGGTGGCTTAGACTGAAATAGAGCATTGCATGCTGGGACATGCAGTCTCCTCAAACCAAAGCCCTGCACTGAAGGGGACACATGTCGGTCATCCTGGCGTGATGCCTTAGCATGGTGGCTTCAGTTTGAGCTGTGTGCTTAGATTGGCTGCTGTCATTCCCCAGATCAGTGGGTCTTTCCCTCCCGATGGCAGTAAGACCTATGGTGCTTTTTGTGGGAGTTATAACGTTTCTGGGGTTGGTCTGATTAGCCCTTCCTCTGACCTACTGTCCTGGTGCTGTACCTGTCCAGAAATGCATTCCCTATTTTGGGGTTCTGGCCGGGCCCTCCCTTGGCGATGTCCAGGGTTCCTGCGGGGCACAGCAGCTTGGAGTTTTCTGAACAGTAAGAATGGTGTGCTGTGTGCATGCCCCAAAGGGGGGAAGCACCTTGGAGGCTTAGCTGGCAGAGCTGTCTGAACAGCTGCCCAGATGAGAACCCAGCAGGCCTGAGCAAGAAGCTGCAGAGACGGGGTCTGCAATGTCTTTCGACTGCTCCAGAGCAGATGTTCTCGAAGTGTGAAGTTCTCCAGGGCTTTTTGTTTTTCCTGAATCATCTCGGTGGGAGGCTGAGATCACCATTAGCCCGTCAGGGAACCCCAGGCTACAATGGCCCTGTCCCACTGCAGGTATTGATCCCGGGGTGAGAGGTAGCTATGCTGGGAGAGTTCTTTCGGGGGCAGTGGGGCAGAGCATGGTAACCGTCCTGTGAACAAGACATCTGGGCAATCAGGTAACCTGGTGAGCCCAGCATAAAAGCTAGGCAGCGTTTGGTGCAGAAGATGGTATCTCGAGTCTATCTCCCTATGCAAGGAACTTGTCAACAGCATCTGTTCCAGTCCTTTGGCCCCTTATGCTGGGCTGCAGCCTTACAGGGATGTCGTGTGACAGACCTTCTCCTTAGAGTGTGAAAGGACCCAGAAGAAACTATTTGAGGATGTAGGCACCACTCACGTGACCAGCTGGGACTCTGGAGTTAATGCTGTATCCAGCTGGTGGAGACTTTGGGATGGTGCTTCTTAGGACTTGCATAGTGTTTCCTGGGCTCATTCAGATTTTGGCAAGGTGAATCCCTATTGAAGGGCCCTGAAAAAATTCAAGGGACGTGAAGTGTCATTCTCGTGCTGTGCACAAGACCTGTTTGTAGAAGTGTGGAACAGAGACTCGACCTTACTGTAGCCGTGATGGGCAGGGGGCAGCTTGGGCTGGAGATCGGAATTTGAGGTTCGCCCAACCCAGCAGGGAGGGGAAGGGCTGTGGAAAGGAAGCTTCTAGCCCCAGGTGGCAGGGGAAAGGTCCTGTGATGCCCATCTTCGGGTGGTAACTAACCAAATGGAATTGAAGAGCAGCTAAGTGCTAGGGCATGTGCCATTGTGTGTGTGATGTGTGGAGCGAATTCTGGGGGCAGTGCGTCCTGGCCCTCGCTGGGGGCTGCACTGAGGCAGCTTGCCGCACTTCTCAGCCTCAGCACACCTGACTGCCTTGCAGTCTGGCCAGGGCATCCCTCCCACTCCTGGATTGTTTTTGTTGGGAACGTGAGCAGCGTTTGCACGGCTCATTTGGCTATGTGATTTTATTGCTCAGTCACTTGAGCTCTCTGGCGTAGTAATTCGTGGGAGCAGATAAGCAGCAAGAGCGCCTGAATCCTGCCCTGTTGGGGCTTGGGCTTACATCAGTTTCCCCCTTTGATTAGGGTCTGAAGGCCAAGGAAGTGCACCTAGGATGGTGTAAGTGTCCCATGGAGCCTATTGCTTTCACAACACAAGCCAGTTCTCCTTCACGCTGCCCTTGCTCGCTCTCCACTTTGGTTAGATAATAGTTGCGAGATCTGATCACAGCATGTAGTCTAGATCTGTCCATCCCAGTGAGTTAGCCTAATGCTGGGCTGGGACACGCTCCTGTCCTGGGTGGGCTAGGCTGCTCATGCACTAAACCAAGAGTCTTAGCTAAAGATAGATGTGTGGTGAGTCACAGATGCATCTCCTGAAAGTTAGAACCGCCCACAGCCCTAACCATTGGACAGTGCTGTCTTTCCATGAGAATTTTGTTGCAAACCTGCAGAGTTGTCAGGCTAGGTGCAGGGGCTCTGGCACTAGGGCTGTCCTCTGCCTGGATGGCTGTGGGATTTTCTTCTCCCTCAGTGCTGACTGAAGCAAGGCTGCAGATTGAAGTGCATTGTTGGTGGAGCTGGAGGTCAGCTTGGTGCCACTGGGAAACCAGTAGCATCAAGCTGAGGCCTGTCCTGTTGTCTGTGCCTGAGATTGCACCCCTTGGACAGGGACTGTCTCACTGATTTGTAAAGAACTTTGTGCAATAAATACACAATCCCTTGTTGGCAACCAGGATTGCGAATGTCCCTCTGAAGCGTTTGCAGCAGACAGGCTCCAAGCCCTGGCTGGGCCTGGACACACTGTCTGCATGTGCAAGTGCTGGGCGGCAATGGTTAGCTCCGTGTGATTTGCTTGGAGCCCCAGCCAGTACCTGTGTTTCAAATGAGCGGCCTTGCATGCTGTGCTCCAATGGCTGGTCTGCTTCTTGCTGTGGACACACCTGTGCTCTGTTTGCTCCTCCAGAACAGCCTGGGTTTGATCTACACCATCTATGTGGACGGGCTGAGTGCATCGCTGGAGAACGTCATTGGAAACCTCTTGACATGCACCATCCCCATTACAGGGGGAGCTCAGGTTGGTACCTGCTCGTTTCTGTGCCCTCTTGCACTTGCCTTCCCCTCCCAGTGTGTGAAATGGCAGCAGCTCCTCCAAGGCTGGATATATGGGTGAGGGATGTTTCCATCCCTGCTCTGCTCCAGGGTGCAATGGAGATCACGGGCAGTACTGCTGGAAGCTGGTTTCCTGAGATCAACTGTGAAGTGGGTTGTGGGTCCGTGCACTCAGGAGGGGCAGGAGGAGGCTACAGCTGCACTGCAGGTAGTCAAGTGGCTAGTGCAGACAGTGGCTTCCCACATACTAGGGATGGAACAGCAGCAACCTTGAGCTGCCTCTGGCTCCTCCCAGTGACTTAGGGCAGCTTGGCTAATGGATTAGATAGGGTGTCTAATTACTTAGCAAAGGGTGGAAATTGGCCATGGTTGGAGAGTCCCATCTCAGCTCCCTCCTTGTGGTACCCTCTTGTAGAGTGTCACCTGAAAGCACAGCATGACCATCATCTAACCTGACCTCCCACATGGACGAATCTGTCTGTGAGAACAGTTGCATGCCCACTGGGCATGCATGCAGCCAGCAGAGATTGTTTCTCCATTAAGCCCTGTCTGTCATACAGAGCTGCTTCAGAGCCTAGTAGCCACAGTCCATTGGTAAGAGCTGGGACCACCCAGCTGCACTGGATAGGCTGAGTGGGGCTAACATTTGCTGTGTGGAAGGCCTAGAACCCCCTCTTCAAACAGTCTCACGTGGGAATCTGGTCTCATGCTTGTTCTCTGGCAGTCTGAGGCGGGGTCTAGCTTATGCTCAGAAATAGGGCTGTAAAAATGGCCCCTCCTAGTCATGTTCGCTGATCCATCCCAGTCACTGACCAGCGCAAATGTTCTTGCAGCGCCCCTCCTGCTCCAGGAGAGCCAGCTGGGCTGCACTCTGTCTGGAGCCAGCAGCAGAAGGGGCGCCCAAGGGGTGACGACAGTGCTTCTCAGCAGAGATCGACGTAGCCCAGTTGGATCTGGACTCCTGGAAGGGAGGGTGGGTTAGGAGACGGCAGTTTTAGCCCTGGGCCTGTCTGCACGATTAAGGTGCTTGACTACGATTCTGAAGATCGTGGGTTTGAGTCTCCCTCAGTCTCTCACAGAAAGGCCACCGCCGGTTCACCCAGCTGATCCATCAGGTTAGGGCAGTCAAAGGCAGTCGGACGTGATGCTGTCCACTCTACTGCGGGCTAGGAAACTGATGTGCCTTAATTGCCTCAGCTTGACAAGCCATTAGCTCAGGGGAACTTCGACTCTCATGCTGCGCTGACACCTGGCAGAGTGGCCTGGACAGAGCGCTTCACTCCTGCAGGGGTTGAGTCGCACGCTGCCAGCTGCTTTTCTGAGCTGCGATCGCCAAGCCTCCTCCGCGTGATCCCTCTGGGTTGGCTGCAGCCTCTTGCCCTGCACCCACAGTGCAAACTAGTGAGCCCCCAGAGACCGTGGGGATCCTTGGGTTGCAGCCTGCCCTAGTCGCAACAGGGTCTCTGATCTACTTGGGCACTCAGGCCAGGGGACCTTGGTGCCTTGAAGCATCAGATCCGGCCCCCACCTTGGGTGCTGTGGCACTGTCTGAAGAATGCCTGTAATGCAGAAGTACCAGCTTCGTAGTCTCCAAGCCACTGGGCTTGGGGCTTCCTCCTCGATTAGCCTGGAAGCACTCTCAAGGCATGGAGGGGCCTTCGTGGGGTGATGCTGGAGGTTGTATATCAGCCAGGCTTAGGCCCCACAAAAGAAGAAAGGGGATGTTCTGTTTGTAAGCCATGCAAGGAGGAGGCTGCATGCCACATGCCCAGGGCTCCTCCTGACAGCCTAGGTGTGAGGGGGCAGCTGACCTCAGCCAGGCCCCTCGTGGGTGAGCTATGCAGGCAGGTGGATAAGGATTGTCGAGCATCAGAGGCCCAGTTAGTGACCCGTCTCAGTGGAGCCCAGAGTGCTCCTGGGAATGGGCTGTGGCCTTAGCAGTTGGTGCATCTCGGTGCTCACAGACCCTGGGGTGCTGGCGTTAGGGCAGTTTGAAAGTGGCACCACCCCTTCTTGCACTTTGCTTTCCCCCCTGCTGTATCTGGAAGGGCTCTTTCTAAATGTTGTGATGTGGCTTTTGCTGTGTCTGTCTGCACATTCCCTCTTTTGGGGGTTCAGGGCCCCGTTCACTGTCAGCTTTGGTTTGATGTGTGCACGTCTCTCCTTGGTGTCCGGCTGTGCTGCCATGTTGTGCGTTTCTAACTGACTGTGCTATCTCTGTCTGTCTCTATCTCAGCCTGACGTGGAGGACGAAAGAGCGGTATGCACACTTTTCTTTCATGGGGTCTGTCTCATCTGTAACAGTCGTCTCTTGGGTGTTCAAACGCTGCACATGCTCCAGCCCCTGCAGCTGCTGGGTCAGCATCTCCCACAAAGAGTGGGAGGAGAGACCTGGGCACTGTGCATCTCCCCAGTCCAGGCACTGCACCCCTGGTTGTGCACATGGCAGTGTGTGTGTGTTAGGGATCCAGGTGACCATGCACATGGGCCACAGAAGAAGGGGTTACTTGTCCTGGGACCCAGTTGGCTGACATCAGAGTTAGTATGCTCTGTTCTCACTGCCTGTCAAAGATCCCAGGTGTTTTCTGGGAGAAGCCCTGTTGCGTTGTCTGAGGGCCAGGGCTGTTCCCTCCCCGGTGTGCGCCAGTGAAGGTTTTAAGGGGCATCTGAGGTGGGGCAGTGGCCAGGAGGGAGCGTGCCAGGTAAATGTGGTGATGCTAGTGTGCGTGAGCATTGCTGCAAAAAGCTGAGCAGGGGAATGGAGAGGAGTATCATGGGGGAAGCCGCTTGCTTAGGGGAATGTGATCAATAGATCTGAAGTCCTGAGATCATACAGGCTCTGAACCAAGGCCAGGAGCCCACAGCTGGGTGGGAGTCCAGGCTTTGGGGCAGGGGAAGAGATCAATACAGCTTTAAAATAAAGGGTTGCAAAAGGGGGAGACTCTGCTGATCCATCCAGCCCTCATCCCTCAGACCAGTCCAGGGCAGCTGGTGCTCCCCTCTTCCTTGCGTAAGACACTGCACCTGCAATGAGAGCTCGTGTGTTTCTGGCGACAGGGCTGAGCGGTGCTCTACTGGCGACCCCAGTTGCCGCAACACTGCGTGTGCTTCTGGGCGTGCCCAGGATGTCTCAGTGGAACGAACTCCATCCAACAGGCTAAGTGCAGCGGTAGCTGTCTTAGGGGTGGTTCCCCTCTGCAGCTGGCCAGTGGCTCTCCCTCACTGGGGCAGCACTGTGTCAGGCAGTACGTACATATCGGCCCCACCGTAGGGTACCCTTCCTCCTGCAGGGAGGAGTCACTCTCATGGCTGCAGCTGGGAAGGACACAGTAGCCTATGGTGGGCGGCCCTGGGCCACCCCACAGGGTATAAAGCTGGACGACATCCCTTTGGCCCCTGCGTCCTGTCCTGTCCGTCACTGGGGGAGCCCAGCTGCTTCTGGATTTTGGCCTTCCACTCTGAGGTGGAAGCTGGCTCCCTGTGGTCCCTGCGCTCGTCTGTTACTCAGCCTGAATCCCAGTGACTGGTGTGTGTCTGTTTTTTGCAGAGGACGATCTCTCTAGGGGCAGGCGACAGGCAGGTGATCCAGACGCCCATCAATGACTCTCTTCCCGTCAGCAGCTGCAGCGTAGCACTGCTCTTCCGGCAGCTCGGTGAGACTCTGCCCCGGCCTCACCTGCTCAGAGGGACAGGTGCTGAATACCGTCAGCCAGTGCCCTCTGCAGGAAATTCCTCGTGCTGCCCCCCCATGCCACGCTCCTGACCTCGGCTTATCAGTTCAGTGCCTCACCCCCCGCCATTCCGACCGAATCTCTCCATCTCATGCTGCCTTCCTTCTCTCAGGAAGTGAGGGGGAGCCTGGCAGTTGTGCTCTGGTTGTGGCCCCAAACTGTGGGTCCATTCGGATGCCATGTTAACGGGCACCGAATGAGCACCTAGGCAGGGGCAGCAGGAGAAGGCAGGGCTGGGTCTGAGCAGCTGCAGGCCTTTCTGTGCAGGGATTTGTGCTCCAGTTGCTCCTGTTGCATCAGCTGCCAAAGATACCAGACACCAAGGGGTGTGCACAGCTCCAGGGGAGTCCCCAAGGGGCTTTCAGAGCAGTCTGGCTGGCCCTAAGCTCAGAAACGATCCGTGAGTTAGCAGGTCCTAGCACTGATCCAGAGGTGACAGGAGGTTTCTAGAAGATGACTGGACACGCTTCCTCTTCCATTCACTGGACAGCAAGTCCCACCCCCATGCAGCAGAAGGAAGGAGCAACAGCTGCCAGCAAGGAGTGGGGATGTGGGGGAGACTCTTGGCAGCCTGTTGGTGGGGTGAGGGAGCAGGAGCTCGTGGGGCTGTAGCAGGACTCTGCTGCTGTACTTGGGAAGAATCCACCTGCAAGCGCTCTGTGCTCTGCCCCTTCTCTCCCCAGGGATCACCAATGTGCTGTGTCTCTTCTGTGCTGCACTCACCGAACACAAGATCCTGTTTCTCTCCAGCAGTTACCAGAGACTCACGGACGCCTGCCGGGCCCTGCTTGCGCTCATGTTCCCCCTCAAGTACAGGTGAGGAAGCTCAGAGTCCACCTGACACGTGGCTGGAGCAAAGCTACATGCTGCAAAGGGGCTTGACATCCCGAGCAAAGCCCGTCTCTGGCTTTGTAGATTGCCCTGCTTCCATCTAGCCCCATGCACTAATGGTGTCCAAGTCCCATGGCTAGTGTGGGCTGTTTACTGTAGCCCAAGCACAATCGGGGATTGCCAGGTGAAATCAAATCTTACATACACCTTGAGACATGTTCTCTGGCTGCACTGTCCATGGCTTTAGAGGCATCTATAATAATTAAATTCCTCAACAGCAAAATAACATGAATAACCCCAGCTCTGCACCCTCTGAGCAAAATTTGGGCTCTAGACTATCAAGAGAGGGAGCGAGTTTAGGCATTGAAGGCCCCTGCCAGCTGCTTCCTCCGAGCCCAAGGAGCTTTTAGCATGAACTAATTGCAGCTGCCGCAGGGCCTCATGGTGAGAGAGAGGGATGTCTCAGGTAGCCAGGCACAGTTCAGCAAGGTGCTGTGGATGCTGCGTGTGATCAGCTCTCACTGAGCTCAGTACAGGCTTAGCACTTACAGGACTGGGCCCTTAGGGGTACCCCTGTGGTACACTCCACACCTAAGTCACTCTGCAGACATTGCAGACCTCCAGAGCCCTACTGTAAGGCCTCCCCAGCTGACCCCACCAGTGACCGGATTGAATGGGGTAGAGGAAATCAGCAGGACTCCAGGAGCCCCCGGAGCTGCCCAACCCCCAGTGATCCTCCCCAGAAGGGGTGATTGCATACAGGCCACTCGTTAGTGAGACGGCCGGGCCTCACAGTAAGCTCCTTAAGGACAGCGGGCGCCCTGCTCATCTCCCTGAAGGGGAGATGTTGACTGGCTCAAACAGTGACCTGACTTCCCTTCCCAGCCCAGGACAGGGTTCCATCTCCTGCGCTGCTCACTGTTTGCACCCCTCCAGCTAGGGCAGTGAAGATAGATGTGTCATTGTTGCTGTTAGCTGCCTGCCCTAGTTCCTGGCTGCCAGTGCCGCTGGAGAAGGGTTCTTTATATTTAAAATATAAATATATTCCTTTGGCATTTACACCCCCCGCCCCTCGAGCTGGAAGCACTGGACATGGGCACAGACTGACTGTAACTTTAGAGCCAAATAACCTGACTGCGGGTCCCTTTACAAACCTAGAAGCCTCCTAGCTGTGAGACACACGCACAGTTCAGAGTGCCTGCCATGGCAGAAGGGCCCTGACACCATTACTCACTATTCGCTGACTATTAGTGTGGGTCCCATCTTGGGCCATGGTTGTTCCTTGTGCTATCTTTCCCAGGACTTTCACCAGTCCAGTATGAAATGACTTGTGTGCTGTGGGCGCCATCATTTCCCTGGGGGACTATTGCACAGTCTGGGTGGCTCTGGAGCATGGCTTGGCCAGGGTGCAGCAGGGTCTTGGAGCCAGATGCTGAGCCCAGCTTAGCTCCTGATGGGCTATAGTGATGATCTGCTTTGGTTACAGTTTCACGTACGTGCCCATCTTACCTGCACAGCTCCTTGAGGTGCTGAGCACGCCCACACCCTTCATCATTGGAGTCAGCTCCATCTTCCACTCGGAGACGCAGGAACTGGTGAGGCACTGCGTAACCCCGTCTGTGCAGTAGCTCTTCCCCCTCGCCCCACATTGCTCCAATCCTCCTGGGTCAGAGCTCTTGAGGGAGGGGCAAGAGATCATTTGCCGTGTAGTGGGGCCGTGTACAGAAATGGGACTGGGAGTGAGGGGATGAACAAACCCTGCTGGAACAGGCTGCACTTGTTCAGCCAGACCAGCAGGGGCTGGGATCCAGGCATCTCTCACAAGTCAAGCAGGGCAGGGCTGGGGCTGGGGCTGGGGCTGGGCTTTCCTGGGGCTTGGGTCCTGTCTACACGATGGTGACTGAAGATGCGATAAGTTCCATCAGTTGAGAAGGCTGTGTGGGCACTTACTGCGCTTTGAGCGTCTTGTTTGGGTTTAGGGCTCGTCTACACTGGCATGCCTCGGCCGCGCTTGAGTGTGGCTTGTGTGGTCACGCAGCGCTGGGACGGAGCGCTCGGAAAACCCCAGCTCCACGAGGGGCGCAGCTCCCAGCACCGGGCGCACTCTGCCCTGGCGCTTTACAGCCCTGAAACTTGTTGCACTCGGGGGGTGGGGGGGGGGTTTCACACCCCCAAGCGAGAAAGTTGCAGCGCTGTAAATTGCCCGTGTAGACAAGCCCTTAGTCAAGTCAGTTCTAAGCAAAACTGAAATTAGCCTGATTTAAACCGAGACAAGAGTGCCTGCCTGGCCTTTTGAACTGCTTCAACCAAGTTGGTTTAAAATTACCTCTGTTGTACCGACCAACCATATGTAGACAAGTCTCTGGGTGCTGCGAGATTGGCACTGGTGTTTCATTTGGTGAGGTCAGTACTGTCTCAGTGCCCAGTCTCAGTGAGATGTAAAGCCAAGGTCCTGATCCCTGGTAAGATCCCCTGGCACTTCCCGCAAGAGTGCAGCTGTGAACCCTGGTGTCCTGGTAGCACCCTGATTTGTGCAGTTCCGTTCAGCCGCCCTGATTCCCCCCTGCTGTTCGGTCAGACGCAAACGGTGGTGGTTCCTCCTGTCCTACCCTGGTGTGTAGCGTTACTGTGGCTGTCCCACGGCTGCTGCGCTTCACCCCAGCGGGTGCCAGGATCCCCAGGCTTATTTTGTATGTCAGCGAGTGCTCAGGTACTGTGGCAATGGGCACCATGTAAGAAGCTATAGGGATTGCAAAGTGCTGTAGGCTCTACCAGATTGTGTGTGGGGGGGAGGCTGTTAAGTACAAATTGCTCCCCCCACCCCCTAAAAAGAAAAAAAAACTGTGTGCAGCTCCTTTGCTGGGTCACGCGGCTGGGTGGGGAGCACTCCAGAAAGCCTGTCCCGTCTGTGTGCTCATGCCTGCCTCGCTGCTTTCAGTTGGATGTCGTCATAGCAGATCTGGATGGTGGGACGGTGACCATCCCAGAGTGCATTCACATCTCCCTGCTGCCTGAGCCACTGCTCCATCAGACACGAGAAGCCCTCTCCATGGTAAGTGTGGGACCCCAGGACTGGCTCGGCTCCACTCCCTGGTCCCCTTCCCGTCTCAAGAGGTTCCTTATATGGGTGTGAATATAGCACTCATGGCCTGTGGCCAGGATCCTGTGGGCAGGTGTTGGGAGTGAGATCAAGCACAGCAGCAGAGCCTGAATAGGGAGTCTTCCCACATCTTGGGAGCTTGTGATCATATCACTTGAGGTTTCTCATGCTTCCTCCCTCCCCGCAGGGCACACTGGGGTGCTGGGGGTTGGCACATGCAGTTGCTTCAGGTTTCTGGGTGTCTTGTGAATGGTCCTCACTCTCCAAACAGGAAACAGTTCCAGCCCTGGAGCTCCTTGCACGGGTGCTAGCTGTTCCCAGGGGGGCTGTGACCCTGGGCATGTGTGTCCAGAACAGCATGGCCTTAGCAGCTCTTGCTGATGCTGATTGCAGAATGTGGCTCAGGAAAGCTGGTGATTTCCAGGCAGTCCCCTGCATTGGTGCCTGTCTGGGGTCCGTCAATTCAGTCAGGATAGAAGAATCTCTCTGTCTGTATTGAAGAGGCAGGCCTCTGATCAGCAGCTGGTGCTCTGAAGTGAGAGTGTGCCTGGTGAGGGGGAAGCACAGCACCTCAGCGATGTCAGTCAGACATAGAGACTTCTCACGGTGGGCAGCCTTCTGACAGAACAGGGCTTGAAGCCAAAGCAGAGAGGCGATAGCGGGCAGGGTCATGGAAACTTCTTGGAGCTACCATCCCCTCTCCCAAGCCAAGTGACAGGTCTGAGGAGTCTTCTCTAGGGCCCCAACCCTAGGCTGTGCCCTGTGAGGCTCTAGGGAGCTATCCGCCAGATCTAAAGGGCAGAAGAGACCCTCATGTTCATCTAATCGGACTTGTGTGATGCAGGCTATAGAATTCCATGCTGAAATTCCTGCCCCAGCCCAAAGGCACCATGGCCTGCAGGCCCCTTCAAGTCTGGTCCCCAAGGCTGGCAGGACCGTGTCTCTCTCTGGCCCTTTCTGGGGGCCCTTCCTAGGGCTCACTGCAGGGCAGGGCCTGGTGCAGTCTGCTCCGTGGTCCATTGAGGAAGTCCTGGCCTCTTCCGGCTGTGGTGTTAGAACTCCCAGGGGCCAGGGCTCCCTTTCTGAACATGCTCTCTGATTGTCTGTGCAGATCTTGGACCCTGAGCTGGAGGTAGCAGACTTAGCATTCCCCCCATCAACCGTCTCTGCCTCCTCCCTCAAAATGCAGGTGAGTGGGGGAGCCAGGAGGGGCCTGGGAAGAAGCATTTGTACTAAGGTGTGTCCCTTCCGAGTGCCCATTCCTTGGGTGTGGGATTGCAGAGGAGCTGCTTTCCCTGCTGGGGTTGGGAGGGGCTGCTCTTTATTTCCAGGGCCAGGAGCAAGGTGGGGCTGAAGCTTCCACCTAGGTGCTGGTTATGGAGTCAACAGTGGTGTTGCAAAATGCTTATGGAGCTCCCTAGCTCTCAGCAAGGGCTAGAAGTCCCCCTTCTCTGGTGCACTGGGGACAGCTTCTTCAGCAGACACTGTAGGGTTACAGCCGCACCGAATTACGAAGGGCCTGTTTCACTGTGAGCAATGTAAGGACCTCCCTCTGCCTCTGCTCGGTGCAGAGGGAGGGGGCATGGGTTTCCTTCCCCCTCCCCATTCCACCCCCCCCCCGCTTTCCTCCAGTCACCCGTTTGTGTTTCCTGCCTGGCAGGTGCTGGGTCCGGCGGCTGGGTCGGAGCCTGTCTCTCCCTGATGAGGCATTTCTGCTGCCAAGCTTCTGGCTCCGTCCTCTCAGTGCCTGACTGTCTGTCCTTCTCTTGCTGCAGGACAAGGAGATCCGAGCTGTCTTCCTCCGCTTGTTTGCACAGCTGCTGCAGGGCTACCGCTGGTGCCTGCACATCATCCGCATCCACCCAGAGCCAGTCATCCGCTTCCACAAGGTAAGGCCACTCGTACGTGGGTGGGGGATAGGGGGGAATTTCAGATGCGCCCTTGGAGCCAGAGCACAGAAGGTCACAGGGTAAGTGGGCTTAAGTCTGAATCAGTACTTGGATGGGCAGAGTACACAAAAACCCAGGTACTGCAGGGGGCAGTGTGAGTAATGTGGCTTGAGAAACTCTTACCTCTGAGAGCTTGTCTGAAGAGGGGTGGGTGTGGATTTCACATTGCCTTTTGGTTTAAAATGCCTTGTGCCCACAAGACCATTCTTTTTTCCAATTATCTGGCCTTTTGCAAAGTGGATAATTCAGTGTGGAAGTGCGTTAAGTTCATTTTAAGATGAGTTAGTCTGGAAAAAGGCTTTGTGTGGATGCAGCTCTATTTTGGATTATCTTTCCTGCCACTGGCAGTCTTCCCACTGCATCCCACACTGCATTGCTTCACATCTGGATCAACCTGTCTCTTCACTTGTGTGTTCTCTACTTGCCTGGGATCACGTTGACTGGATGTCACCTCCCCCATTTAAATGCTGGTGTGCAGCCATGTGCACCCCAGTTACACACTCCTGGAGTTGCATACCCTTCTCCTGCTTGGACCCGTGGAGAGACCATGGATTGCCCCTAGGGCTGGGAAGAGGAGACGGTCCAGTCTTGCCTTAGCAGCAGCTACCGGAGAGCCAATGTTATGAGCCTGCATCGAAGCAAACCCTGGAGAGGGGTCACTCCTGGGACGAGGTCCAGTGTCAGAACAAAGGAAAGGAGGGCCAGTAGAGTTCCAGGAAACCCTAGGGTAGCCGCAAGACCTTCAGGAACCCTTCCAGCACTTGCCCTCTACCGTGAGTTGCACCACGTTTTCCTCAAGAAGGCCACCACTGAATTCTGGTACGTTGTGGCCGGCACCCAAGAGTGCAGACCCCGACAAGGACTCCAGTGAGGAGGAAATTTCCCAGCAAACCCAGGATCTCTTTCCCATATGAGTCTGAGGAAGTGATGTCTCCCAACACCCAAGTGGACTCCCACCAAGACAGTGCTGGGAAAGGACCTCTCCCAGTGAGTGGTACGTACTATCATAGAAGATTCGGGTTGGAAGAGACCTCAGGAGGTCATCTAGTCCCACCCCCCCTGCTCAAAGCAGGACCCAATCCCCAACTAAATCATCCCAGCCAGGGCTTTGTCAAGCCGGGCCTTAAAAGCCTCTAAGGATGGAGATTCCACCACCTCCGTAGGTAACCCATTCTAGTGCTTCACCACCCTCCTAGTGAAATAGTTTTTCCTAGTATCCAACCTAGACCTCCCCCACTGCAGCTTGAGACCATTGCTCCTTGTTCTGTCATCTGCCACCACTGAGAACAGCCGAGCTCCATCCTCTTTGGAACCCCCCTTCAGGTAGTTGAAGGCTGCTATCAAATCCCCTCTCACTCTTCTCTTCTGCAGACTAAAAAACCTCAGTTCCCTCAGCCTCGCCGCGTAAGTCATGTGCCCCAGCCCCCTAATCATTTTTGTTGCCCTCTGCTGGACTGTCTCCAATTTGTCCACATCCTTTCTGTAGTGGGGGGCCCAAAACTGGACGCAGTACTCCAAATGTGGCCTCATCAGTGTTGAATAGAGGGGAATAATCACTTCCCTCAGTATGCTGGCAATGCTCCTATTAATGCAGCCCAATATGCAATTAGCCTTCTTGGCAACAAGGGCACACTCATATCCAGCTTCTCGTCCGCTGTAATCCCCAGGTCCTTTTCTGCATAACTGCCGCTTAGCCAGTTGGTCCCCAGCCTGTAGCAGTGCATGGGATTCTTCTGTCCTAAGTGCAGGACTCTGCACTTGTCCTTGTTGAACCTCATGAGATTTCTTTTGGCCCAATCCTCCAATTTGTCTAGGTCACTCTGGACCCTATCCCTACCCTCCAGCTTATCTACCTTTCCCCCCCAGCTTAGAGTCATCCGCAAATTTGCTGAGGGTGCAATCCATCCCTTCATCCAGATCATTAATGAAGACGCTGAACAAAACCAGCCCCCAGGACAGACCCCAGGGCACTCCACTTGATACTGGACGCCAACTAGACATCGAGCCGTTGATCACTACATCACTACCCATTGAGCCCGACAATCCAGCCAGCTTTCTATCCACCTTACAGTCCATGCATCCAATTCATACTTTTTCAACTTGCTGGGAAGAATACTGTGGGAGACTGTATCAAAAGCTTTGCTAAAGTCAAGATATATCACAACATATTTTATATATATTACAACATAATTGTATAAGGGAATTTAACAAACTTCGTCTCTCCTCTCCCACCACTGTGCTCAAAATGGCATCTGCACCAGAGAATTTAAGCTGTACAGCTGCTATGTTTCTGAAATATTCATATCCCACAGCCATCAGCCTCACTGAAAACTGCTTAACCATCTCCAAGCTCGCCCCAGGCTTTGAAGGTCCTACAGGAATGATAGATCTGTTCAGGCCTCATTTTGAAGTCCAGCCTGGACCCAAACCCAACCCACGAATGTCATTTTCAGAACGGACTCAGTTCAAACCTGACCCTTCCTCCCTCAACCCTGTGCCAGAGCTGCTGCTGCCTCGTCCCTGGGGCCGGCCTGGTAGGGGCTTCCCGTGCCCATGATCTGTCAGTATTGCAGCAGCCGACTGCCACTGCCTTACTGTGCCGTGCATGCTGCGGAGAGGATCAGAGCCGACCAGACCTGACCGAAGGGGTTGGGTTGTTTTTAGACCTGTCCAGACTCTTGCAGTTGGGTCCAGGTCAGGTTGCAGGGCTCCAGGAGTGGTATCCAAAATTGAGGAAAGCATCACGAATCATTGCTTCGGAGACTGGAATTAGTACACCTACTACTTGTTCCGCAGCTCCGGCACCCGGTGCACCACAGCCGCCGCCTTCCCTCATCCCCAACAGGACATTGTCAGTTTCAGAACGTGGCAAATCTCTGGGTCAAGAAAAGGAAGACGAGAGAGGAAACATCAGGGTACTTTGTCTGAGTCCCAGAAGAGGGATAAGAACACAAGATGGAGGAAGGCCTCCTTGTGGAGAGAGGAGAGAGACTTGGCAAGGGACAAAACTGAGAAAGAGAGGCACGTGCAGAGGCAGCTGCTGGAGTTGATGCACAAGCAGACAGTCATGCTGGAGAACATTTTGGTACTGTGGTCCCACCTGTTTCCTGTAGGCTGTGGAGAGCCATGCGTGCTGAGTAGCAGTACCCTTCTCCAAGCTCCAGCTACAGACAATTCCCTCCATATCCCAACACCCGGAGAACAGTGGATCCTGGGACCCAACTTCGCTCCTGCAACTACAAGCAATAGTTTCTCCCCTCGCCATTCTACATCCCTAGGTGAGAACAGCAGGCAGAAGCCCCGCACCTGTGCATGTTTGGACCACGTGAGCTACTTTGGCACTGTTATGGTCCATAAAGTGTGCATTGTTTATATTGTGATTTACATTCCACTGATTTCACATGTGCACTGTTACATTCAGTGAAGTGTTTTATTTGCCCTGTTTGATGTTCAATAAAGGTTATTTCTGATGAAGGTTCCGTGGTTTAGAATTACATGTAGGCCATCAACACAGTAAAATGCCCGTTCATAAACCATTGCACACAGCATGGAAAAGCATAGTAAACTTCCATTTCATACACTCCTGCTAGTGGCTAACACAGTCTGTACACGGTGCATTTCAACATCTGAGTTCCTAGCCTTGAAGGAGGCACACTGGCCAACCTGCCCCCATGGCCCTGAAGATTTGCTGGCGTGCAGAAGCAGCTTCTCAGGCTGTAACTTTCCAGAGGTCTCTGCCCCTTTGTGTCCCACCTATCAGTGGGGTGCTGTCTCTTACCCTCTCAGATGGTGGCAAAATACAGCAAGCAGCTCTCACAGAAGGTAGATATTTCTCATTAGTCTCCAGCCTCATCGCCGGGCTCCTGCACATCTCTTAGTCTTCCAAACACATGCCCCGTTGTCACTCTGCAGCTTTTTCTCCCAGGATGATGCTGGGAATCACAGCACCATTAATGTCCATAGCGGTCCTGGGAGCAAAGGTACCCGTTGTAATTGAAGAAAACAGGGCTTAGCTTCTAAGGGTCCTGGCACCACAGACCTTTCCAGACTCCCCCCATGTATTAATGCTGGTGAACCTCCCACAGTGAACAGCCTTGGAGAAATACCCCTTTCTACCGATGAACTCTGAGGTCTGATGTCGGGGGCAAAGAATAGGCACATGGGTCCCACCGGTGGTCCCAATACAATTTGGGAACCCCAGCCTTGAAAATCCACTAGTAACTTCCTGTGTGTTTGACCCCAGGCATCAGTGTCCTCTCTAGCAATGCACCCATCCCTGACAACCGCCTCAGCAGTTGATCTGCCAGCACCCAAGTGGTCAGCTACAGACATGAAGTTGGAGGTGGTGAGCAAATGGTCACATGCTTCTCCAGGTCGGCGTGCTGTGGCTCCAGGGTGAGCTCTGCACAAATCTCTAGGAAAGTGGCCTTTGTCATCCTGAAATCCTGCTGCCACTCCGCATTGCAGCCCTTTTCCAGCAGTCAGGGCTCATTTCCTGAGCCCAGAAACGGCACCCTGAGAGAAGCTGGTCTAGGAAAAGGCCATCCACAAGCAGCTGTTTGATTTCATCCTCCACCACTCCTCTCCCGAGATTGGCTTGGCGGCATGGTGGTGACACCTAAAGTCACCCAGCTGCATGACCGCAAATGCAAGTGGGACGACCTCTGTGCATTCACGGCTGTCAGGATGGTTGCAGGCAGCAGTGCTCCCTCCGTGCCAGGTGACTTTTCGAAAACTGTGCTGGCTCACAAGGGACAGATGAATCGTGGGATGCCAAGAGAGGAACCATGGGAATTTGCTCCTTTGCTCCCAAGTTCCAGAATTCCAGTGGCTTCACAATGCCCTGTGATAAAAATCCCAGGCTGTCCAGAGCCCAGCAGCTGCGCAGTGCATCGTGGGACACCTGCCCAGAGCGTTGTGTGCTTATTTAAAAAGCAAAACAAAAAATGCAGTGCCATGTGAACGCACAGATTCCTAGGGAATTCGGATACAGCCGGCTGTGTGGACACACTTATTTCAGATTAGTTATTCCACAAAAAGCTTCCTGGCTGGACAAGCCCTGAGTCAGTGTGTTCCTTCCCCCAATCCAAAGGGAGGGATGGGGGGAGTGGTGCTGTGCTGTTAGAGGCTGTCTACTGCATGAGATGTGAAACTGACCATTCCAGCCTTGGTGTCCTGGGTGTATTCCATTCCCTCCCCTGAACTCCCTCTGGAGTTCCTCAGATACAGCGTTGCTCCAGTCTCAAACCACGCTGCCGTCCTGTGTTCCATCCCAGAGGCGGCCATATTTGAACTGATGCCTGTAAAGGCCTTGGAGATCTGTTGGGTTGAGGAGTGTGGCGTTCGGAGTAGGGGCCTTGGGACCAGAAACTCCTGAGCTCTCACTCAGACGTGCCCCCAGGTTCTGATTTGTACATCTCTCTCTCTGGGTTTCCCTGTCTGTAAATTAATCTAATTCTGACCCACTCCTCAGGGCTGTGAAGAGGGGGAAAGTGTTCAGGGGGGCATTTATACAGCACCATCTGGGACTTTATGGGCAAATAAAACCCTGCCCAAGGATCTGGGTCTGAAATAGACACTGCATCGCAAGCGGGCTTGGGGAAAGGAAGGCTCATGGCTGTGCACACATCCTGCTAGTTCCCCCAGCATGGGGCTGCTGCCTGGAAGGTTGGGGGCTGAGACTCAGGCCAGTGCGTTAATGGCCACCTGCTGTTCCTTGTTGTAGGCAGCCTTCCTCAGTCAGAGGGGGCTGGTGGAGGATGACTTCCTCACCAAGGTCCTGGAAGGCATGGCGTTCGCTGGCTTTGTGACAGAGAGGGGTGCCCCATACCGAGCAATTGACCTGTTTGATGAGGTAAGAGGTGATTGGGGGGGCAACTCCCCCCCTTCCCTTCCCTGGCTGGCAGCCCTGCACGTCTCCGTCTCTGGCACTAACAGCCCTCAGTAAATAACCCAGGGCCGCAGAGCATATCTGAGCTCCTGCGTTCCCCTCCGAGGGACTGAGGCGTGAGCCAAAGACATCAGGGGAGCTGCCTGCTGGCTGCAGTGTCCTGCATGGTCCGGGAGGAGCTGGGGCAGGCCTGGCACTAAGGAGCACCGCCAACACGGCACCCGTGCTCCCAGGCAGGAGGCTGCCCCTCATGCCTCTCCTCCACCCGCAGCTGGTCGCCTGTGAAGTGAAGCGGATGCGTGCCGAGGAGGGGAGCAAGCAGAAAATACTGCGGCACATCAAGGAGCTGGCAGAGCAGCTCCATAAAAACGTGAGCGCTGAGGGCCGGGGCGCCTGGGGTAGGAATAACGTGGAGATGGGAGCCTGGCACAAGGGCAGGGCCTCACTCTGAGCAGGGTCAGGGGCCCCCACTGAAGGAGGGCCTTTCTCCCTTCATCTCTGCAGACTGCTGCACGCCCAGTGCAGGAGCCTCTTCTCCTTGGGGTACATTCCACCCCTATGCCTCAACTCTCGTCCGCTGGCCACAGCTGGAGGTGGCAGAGGGGTAGATCGGTGACCGTTCTTGGAGCTGGCCCAGGTGGAGTGTGGCCTTGTGGTTTGAACTGTCAACCCATTGCCTGTCTGGTCCTTTCTGATTTGGAGGGACCCTGCATGCACGGGGGGAAGGGTGTTCAGAGCAATTCCTCCCCCAGGTGTCCCAATTGATCTGGAGGATCTGGCCAACCACCCCACCAGCCTTCAGACCGAGGGCATCCTTCTGAGACGGCCTTTAGAGCACGACAACACTGCCTTTTGTGGCCTAGGGTCACTGTCGGACTTGGGAGGGCACTGCCCTGCTGCAGAAGGCTGAGCTCCCTACCTGCCCAGCATGTCCAAGCTCTCCTGGCCCCACTTGTGCTTGGGTGTTCACTGTCTCTGTGGCTCTGGAGAACATAGAGCAGCTGGGTCTAAGCCGGGCAGTCAGCACCTGGTGCTGGAGGGCTCCTGGTTTGTAATGTGTGGGAAGGGCTTGGCCTTGACGCCATGTGCAGTTCCCCAGGGAGATCCTGCCTGGGAGCCTCGCGCTCCCTGTTCGAGGGACACAGCATGGCAGGTCTGCCCTGGAGAGTAACTGGCGCCCCTTGCTGGAATAGGAGAACCCATACCCCGCAGTGACAATGCACAAGGTGCAGAAGCCTACAGAAGGCTGCTACCTGCGCCTACACCAGAGGCCTTTTCCCCGCTTGGACGAGGGGACAGTCCAGTGGATCATCGACCAGGCCACTGCCAAGCTGCAGACAGCCCCGCCGGCTGTGAAGGCGGAGAAGAAGTGTATGGTGCCATCGGGACCCCCCATTGGTATGTCTCCCAGGAAGGGCACAGCCTCACGGCAAAGGGCCACACGAGGGGGAAGTTTTGCCTCAGCGCTGCCAGGTGCTCATCTCAGTATGGGCACCGCTGGCCTCTCTGCTGGCAGCTTGGTTGGATTTCAAAGCCTGCAGCAGGCCGGTGGGCCTGGGGTGGAGAAGGCTGTAGGGGTCTGTCAGGTAGGAAGGGCTGGAGAGACCGTTCTTACGTGTGGCTGGGATTCCCCTCAGCCTTGAGCTGAGGCAGGGAAGGTGGAGGTCAGACAGTCCAGCCCAAAGTGCCTCGAATTGGGCATCTGAAGTCCGTGGACTCTTCTGAAAGGGTGAGCCTTGAGCTGCAGGGCCAGCATTGCCTGGGGAGGCGAGCAGCTCGCTCTGCATCTCTAGCTGTGCCACCTCAGAAAACCATTCGCTTCCGGAACAACATGCTTCGTGTGTTAGAGTGGGAGCAGGAGTCAGGACTGCTGGGTCCTGTTCCTGGCTAGGCCCCTGACTTGTCATGCCCTGTGGCAAGTCACTGCACCTCTTTGTGCCTCAGTTTGCCTATCTGTGGAATTGGGCTGCTGCCCAGCACTCCCTGGGGGTCCATGCCCCTGAGGCTGCTCATCTCCACCATAGCCAGTTGGGCCTTGCTGTCCACTGGAAAGGGAGCAGGGGAGACCCACACAGGCGTCAGAAACACTCAGCCCCAGAGCAGGACAGTGAGATGGGCTGGCTGTGTAGCGTGTCTCCCTAAGAGGGGGACAGGCCAGCCTCCCCTACCTACTCCTGCAGTGTAGTGACTGGCGACTTTCTCCCCAGCTGCCATCATGGAGCGCAATGGCAGTGCCCTGGCCAACAGCGCCCGCCGCCTGGAGGTGGTCAGGAACTGCATCTCCTATGTCTTCGAGAACAAGATGCTAGAAGCCAAAAAGGTGAGGGCTCAGGGAGCTGGTGGTAAAGGGGCAGGTGTGTGGAGAGACAGGACACCCATCCCCTGGCTGCTCTACATCTCTGCTGTCCCATCACACAGAGGCTTAGAGGAGAGAGCTTCCTGTCTGCGTCCAGTCCTCCATCTGCCTAGGCTGCCCCACGCCGCCTCACACGCTCGTCTTCAGCATGCCTCTTGCCCAGTGTGCCACGGAGCCTGGCTACCTGCCGCACTTAACCAGTGTGGGCTGGCAAACCTGGAATGCTGTGGCCACTGTCTGTTTCTTCCCCCACCTGGGACTGGCCTCTGGAGGTGGCCAAGACGGGCTGGGGTCCCGGGCAGTGAGAGTTCGGTGCTGCTGCATTTAACTCTCCAGGGTGTGGGTTTGCAGGGTGGGTCGTTGTGGCACAGGGGGCTCAGTGTGTCGCCTCTGGCTGTGCTGACCACCACAGGGTGGGTGGGTGGATTGTCTGCGAGTTTCCAAAGCATCAGGCCTTGCAGCAGGCACTCTATATTCTACATCCATCTCCAATTGCTACCAACTGCCCTCCAGCCTGTAATCCTCAGCAGGGCCTGGGCTGGAAGCTTGGTCCTGTCGCTGTACTTTGTGCTCTTCCTCCTGCAGCTGCTTCCAGCTGTGCTAAGGGCCATGAAGGGCCGAGCAGCCAGACACTGCCTGACCCAGGAGTTGAACCTGCATGTGCAGCAGAACAGGGCCGTACTGGACCACCAACAATTCGACTTCATTGTCCGCATGATGAATTGCTGTTTACAGGTACTGCGCAAAGGGGCTGGCCGGAGCTGCAGCGAGGCGAGGGTTCACCAGGGCTGCTGCCATCACACCCTTGGATTCCTTCGGGGGGCTGGTGCCATCTCCGGGATGCTGGGGAAGCCAGCACAGCTCTGTCCTGGAGGGTACTTGGGGCGGTGTGTGGGTGGAAGTCTACAGCTCTGGGGGCCCTGCGGCGAATACCAGTTAACCCCTCTCCAGAGCTGCGGGGATGAGGTTTGGGGGGCAATTTTGGGGATCTGTAGTTCTGGGGCCTTATAGTGAATGCCCCTTTCTCCAGGGCTGTGTGCTAATCTCGTCTCTCTCCCCCCGCTCCAGGACTGCACTGCCATGGATGAGCATGGGATTGCAGCAGCGCTTTTGCCACTAGTCACTGCTTTCTGCCGAGTAAGTATCCGGTGCAGCCTGGTGCGTGCCGCAGATCCCGGCAGAGCGGCCCCGTGTCTGCCTGGCTGTAACTGCGGAATGACTGGCTGCCAAGAGCAGCACCGAGCTGTGCCGCTCCTGGGGCAGTTCTCTGAGGGGGTCACCCCACAGGGGCCGTAGCTCAAGCAGGCATGAAGGCTCCACTCTGCCTCCTGCCTCCGTCCCATTGGGCCCCAAACCCTTTTGACTCGAGCCTGTCTGAGAGGCCTTGCACTAAGGCAGCCCTGAGAGGCTGTGGTGCGAGGAGAGACGTCAGCTCTGCATCCACTGGCCTCGCTTCTCCCAGCCCAGAGGTAGCCGCTCGGGGTATAGCTACAATGCAACCAAAACCTGCAGCAGGCCTGTGCCAGTCGGGCTCACGGGGCGTGGGCAGAGGGGCTGTTTTGTTGCTGTGTAGACTTCCTGCTCGGGCTGGAGTTTGGGCTCTAGGACGCTGTGATGTGGGGGGGGGGCCCTAGAGCTTGGAGGTCTACCCCACAAGTCCGAGTCAGCTGGCATGGGCCAGCCGCCACTTTTTCATTGCAGTGTGGACAGACCCTGTGGGGCAGCAGGGGCTCCCTGTCCGGGAGACATGGCAGCAGTGGCTGGGCCTCTCTCTGGCGCTGCTCGTCTCTGGGCTTGAGAACGCAGGGAGGGCCGTGGCACCCAGCTGCAGGGTGCTCAGACAGCTTGGTCACAGAGGCCAGGGAGTGTTGACCTTGATTCCCTCAGTCTCGCAGGAGCAGAGCTCAGGAGTGTTTGCTCCCCGACAGCAGAGGTGGTTTGCTGTGGCATTAATTGGGCACGCAGAAGGGGCAGTCAGTGCAATCTTGCTTTGTGCAGGGAGGGGCCTCCGTTTGTGGTGTCACTGGCTGGCCAAGGGCACTGCCTTTCCCAGCTAGAGCACAGCATGGATTAGCTGGGGAAGGGCTGGCATACTGGAGGCATCTGCGCTGAGACCCTCTTTTCTCTCTGCCCCCCAGAAACTGAGCCCGGGCATCACGCAGTTTGCCTACAGCTGTGTGCAGGAACATGTAGTGTGGACCAACATCCAGTTCTGGGAGGCCATGTTCTACTGCGACGTGCAGAACCACATCCGAGCCCTGTACCTGGAGAGCAACGGGGAGAACCACGTGGATGAGGTGATGGGGCGGCAGGAATACCAACCCCAGGCTGTCCTGGCCCAGCCTTCCTCGTAGCTAGTGAGGAGGCAAGAACTGGCCTGAAGGCACAGGGTCTGGGATGTGACCTGGCTTGGGGCTCCTGGGGAGAGATGGGGGTAGGAGCCCCTGATGAGAGCAGGTGCTTTGCTGCAGACACTGTGTGGTGGGAGCTGGCACACAGGTTTCCCGCTCAGGCAAAGGGCTGATCTGTCCCCCTGCTCCATTAGGAGGGCAAGGAGGGACCTCAGGAAGAGAAATCTGCCCTGGAGATTGCGTCGGAGCAGCGGCGGCTGTGGCCTACCATGAGCCGGGAGAAGCAGCAGGAGCTGATCCAGAAGGAGGAGAGCACAGTCTTCAGCCAGGCCATCCACTATGCCAACCGTATGAGCTACCTGCTGCTGCCCCTCGACACCAGCAAGAACCGGCTGCTGCGCAGCTCGGGGCTGGGCGACGTGGAGAGCGTCAGCAACAGCTTTGTCACCAACAGGTAGCTGGCCGGTGGGCAGTGTGTGGGAGCTGCCACTGAAGGATCTGGGTGGGGAGGGGCGGATTGAAGCTGGCATGTGCTGCCAGGCCCTGGAGCTGGCGGGCTGTCCAGTTTGTGGGTGGAACTAGTGTTTTGTATGTGTGGGCCTGGGGTTCAGTCTTCGCCCGGGTGCCCGGGAGAGCAAGGCTGTCTGGAGTGTGGGAGAGAGCTGGCATGTGCTGCGTGGTCAGGCTCACTCCCAGCCGCGTCTCCCTGTGTTAGCATTGCCGGCAGTGTGGCCGACAGCTACGACACGGAAAGTGGGTTTGAGGATGCCGAGAGCTCCGATGTGGCCAACTACGTGGTCCGCTTCATCAACCGCTTCGTGGACAAGGTGTGCACAGAGAGCGGCGTCACCAACGAGCACCTGAAGGGGCTGCACATCATGATCCCTGGTAAACAGCTTGTCCAGCGCAGGGGGGCCTCTGGGGGAGGGGGCTGGGTTTGTAGCCAGCGCTTTGCTGCCGTGAGTCCCCTCCAGAGCAGGGGAGGGGTGTGCTCAGGCACTGCCCACCGAGGGTTCAGCTCCCCTAGGAGGAAGTGGAGAGGCTGGCAGAGAGGCTGCAGTAGGCCCGTGTTCTCAGTCTCCTGCTGTCCGGGACCTGCAGCCGGGACGGGACGCTCCTGCCCCGTAGGGTTAACTCTGCATCTCCCTTCCTCCTCAGACATCGTGCAGATGCACATAGAGACACTGGATGCTGTGCACAGGGAGAGCAAGAGGCTCCCTCCTATTCAGAAGGTCTGTATTACCTTGCTGCACAGGGGCATCCCCTCCCTTCTGGGTTTCACCCCCTGTGCCCCGCACCATGGCTGAGGGAGCCTGCAGTGTGCAAAGGGATCCCTCTGCCTGCACAGGCCTCCCTTGTGAGGCAGCTGAGCTCAGCTGTGTTGAGTTGGGAATAACCCTGTCTGCCGTGGAAGGGAGGGGGCCCAGTGGGTCTCCAGCAAGAACTGAAGCAGCTCCATTTTGGGGCTCAGTTGTGAACCTCTCCCCAGCCATCATGGCTCTGTGGGGGGGCTGGCCTGTCTCCCATGGCTTTCAACCCTCCTCCTGTTTGTCCCTGCAGCCCAAGCTGCTGCGCCCCAGCCTGCTGGTGGGCGAGGAGTGCGTCATGGAAGGGCTCCGTGTGTACCTCATGCCCGACGGACGTGAAGAAGCTGCCGGAGGGAATATTGGGGGCCCCCCACTGCTCCCCGCGGAAGGAGCCATCTTCCTCACCACTTACCGCATCGTTTTCAAGGGCACACCCTCGGACCCGCTGGGTGAGGACCCTCCCTCTGTGCCACACTCTGCATCCCCTGCAGCCTGGTGGGCCGGTCCCCGCACTGCTCCTCGGGGCCTCTTCCTGCCTGGCAGACCAGACGTGGGAGGTGGAGGATTTGCCGGGACAGGGAGGAATCTATCCTGGGTGGGGTGTCTGAAGCCCTGCCCTGCTGCCGACTGGACTGGGGAGGGAGGCTTCTGCTGTAGGGGGCTTTTTGCCTTTGCTGAACCAGAGCCCAGCACCATTTAGAGCCAGCAGGAATCTGGGCTGGTGGATGGTTTTTCCCTCAGTGGAGATCTGAGAATGGGCTGTGGCCAGAGCAGGGGCTTACTCAGAGTACTGCAAAGGAATTCCCTTTTACAGGGGAGGGGCTGTTTGCCCATTGGTCTGGGGAGAGGCATTTGCCAAGCAGGGCCCCCTTTGGTCCCAGTTTTACTTTCCGGTCCCCATATGTAGCTCCCGCTGCCTTGGGCTACAGGCTGATTCTGCCCTGGAGCAGCGAGCTCAGTCCCAGAGCTACTGGGGAGCAGGTGAGGGCTGCATGTCCCAGCCCATTGGCGGCCTGAGCCAGGTTGAGACTGTATCCTGCATGTGGCTAACGTGTCCCCTGTTTCTCTCCATGGCCCCAGTGGGGGAGCAGGTGGTGATCCGGTCCTTCCCCATTGCCTCATTGACCAAAGAGAAGAAGATCAGCACCACGGTCCAGACAGATCAGTTCATCCAGGAGGGGCTGCAGCTGCGCTCATGCACATTCCAGGTGAGACGAGCCCCCCAGCACTCCTGCCAGAGACACTCTCCAGGCAGAAAGCTGGACTCTATTCCCAGCTGCTGCTGGTCTTCTGGGGCTAGGAGCACAGACCTCACCAAACTGCTATGTTGGGCCCCAGCTGGGACCTGGGCCCTGCAGACCGTTTCTGGAGTAGAGGGGTCACTGACCTCCTGGGCTTGTCATAGAATATCAGGGTTGGAAGGGACCTCAGGAGGTCATCGAGTCCAACCCCCTGCTCAAAGCAGGACCAAGCCCCAACTAAATCATCCCAGCCTGGGCTTTGTCAAGCCTGACCTTAAAAACCTTAAAGGAAGGATATTCCACCTCCTCCCTAGGGAACCCATTCCTGTGCTTCACCACCTTCCTAGTGAAAAAGTTTTTCCTAATATCCAACCGAAACCTCCCCCACTGCAACTTGAGACCATTACTCCTTGTTCTGTCATTTGCAACCACTGAGAACGATCTAGATCCATCCTCTTTGGAACCCCCTTTCAGGTAGTTGAAAGCAGCTATCAAATCCCCCCTCATTCTTCTCTTCCGCAGACTAAACATCCCCACTTCCCTCAGCCTCTCCTCATAAGTCATTTGCTCCAGACCCCTAATCATTTTTGTTGCCCTCTGCTGGACGCTTTCCAATTTTTCCACATCCTTCTTGTAGTGTGGGGCCCAAAACTGGACACAGTACTCCAGATGAGGCCTCACCAATGTCGAATAGAGGGGAACAATCACGTCCCTCGATCTGCTGGCAATGTCCCTACTTATACAGCCCAAAATGCCATTGGCCTTCTTGGCAACAAGGGCACACTGCTGACCCATATCCAGCTTCTCATCCACTGTCACCCCTAGGTCCTTTTCTGCAGAACTGCTGCTGAGCCACTCGGTCCCTAGTCTGTAGCGGTGCATTGGGTTCTTCCATTCTAAGTGCAGGACTCTGCACTTGTCCTTGTTGAACCTCATCAGATTTCTTTTGGCCCAATCCTCCAATTTGTCTAGGTCCCTCTGTATCCTATTCCTACCCTCCAGCGTATCTACCTCTCCTCCCAGTTTAGTGTCATCTGTAAACTTGCTGAGGGTGCAGTCCATGCCATCCTCCAGATCATTAATGAAGATACTGAACAAAACCAGCCCCAGGACTGACCCTTGGGGGGACTCCGCTCGATACCGGCTGCCAACTAGATATGGAGCCATTGATCACTACCCGTTGAGCCCGACGATCTAGCCAGCTTTCTATCCACCTTATAGTCCATTCATCCAGCTCATACTACTTTAACTTGCTGGCAAGTTGTGTGGCTTTTGGGCTGCTGCATGCCTGACTGGCCAAATGCAGCCATCAGGCCAGGTGACTGCAGGTCCCAGAGCCAGCTGTGGCCTGGCTGAGCATTGCCTGCTGGGATCTGTAGGCTCCATCGCAGAGAAGGGGATAGAATTTGCTGTCCTGTCCTGGACCAATGGTAGTGCTAGGGTGTGATGTCTCACAAGCCCCATGTGCTCTGCTGACATACAGGATGCTGAGGGGCGCAGGAGCTGAGCTAGACCCAAGCCAGTGAGCTTTTCCAGGCAGTGCTGCAGCCATGGAACAAGGAGTGGGGTGTCTTTCCTACTGCTTATTGCCCCTGTGCTGCTTTAGGCATGCAGGGCTGAAAGGCAGCATCCCCTCCTCCAAGGGCTCAGGGGGAGGGGTCCCGACAGACCAGTCGGGTTTTCAGAAATGTTAACTGCCAGAGGCATTTGGTAAAAGCTGGTCACAAGTCTCTGTAGGAGAATTTGGGGGTGCTGCCTCCAAACATGGCTGTTACCACGCAGTACGTGGGGCATACAGAGCAGACAGTAACATATGGAAATCGCTGAAGTGTAAATCTTTATTTCCTTTTCACGTAGGATTAACCTGCTTCAGGTGGCTCTTCCTGTAGGATGTAACAGAAGGGACCAAGTAATATGCAAAGCCTTTTCAGAAAGCTCTTGGATTTCAGTGTCTTGTTTATACGAGTTACTAGAAATGTTATAATGCAAATAAGTTAATGTTGTGCTATTTCAAGGAGCATTGGTATACCCTGGCAGCTTGAATCAATTTAGGATTAGGTCTCTTACGACACGTACTCGGCGCGTAAGGCCAGTATTCTCAAGTAAGGGGCAGGTGCGTTGACACAGCCTTGTCCCAGTTCACTGCCTTTGCATGCTCCTGTACAAATGAGAGGTGCTGCTCTGCACCTGCATCGCTGGCTGCCGCACCTTGTTGGGCCGTCACGGATATTGCCTGCTGGTACCGCTGGCAGTGCTAAGAGCTGTGGCACCAGACCTGTCCTCCTGTGACTGACCCAGTTTGTTTGGAGGAAGATGTGACAGGTTTTGGCAGCGGGCCTTTCTCCAAACTCCTGCCTGGTAGTGAGCTCTGTGTATATGGAAATATAAAGCATAATTTCTTAGGGGTAGAGCTTCTGATGACCACAAGCGTGTGACCAAAACGGCACTTGCTTTGTCAGTGCTGTGGACCTTTGGCAAGCCATACATCTTAGAAATAAACTCTTCTGTGGTTTTCACCTTCTGTGAGTCCAGGTCTCCCTGTTCAAGGTGTGTTAGAAGCTGATGGTGTCCTTGAAAAACTTTCCATGCGACCTTCTTGTGTCCAGCAATAAAAGAAGTAGCATCTCACGAGTCAGGGCATGAAATGGGAGTGGTTTTTCCAGAGCAGCAGGTTCATATTGTAGCTTCTCACAAATGGCAAGGCTAGGAAAGTACTTTGGTTCCTTTGTGCCAGTTTTCATCCAAAGCTGCTTACATGTCTTTGTGCTATAGTGAGCAGCCAAGTATAAGCATATCAGTGTCCCCGGCTGCAACAACCGTGCTAGACACCATGTAGAATCTTTCTTGTCTGTTTCTTGTTGATGATCATACAGCTGATGGCTATCGACTGTGGCTGCAAAGCACCATAGTTCAGCCTCATCCTGAAAGCCACCAGCCGGAATGATGATTTTATCAGGTGGTGCTTGTCATTAGTTGCTCAGGTAAAAGTATTGCGAAGTCCTCCTTATTTTCTGGAAGCCCAGCGAACTGCATCCAGATATTTGGAAGAGACACGTATCTGCATTCTACCACTCTTTGGATGGGCCTTGTACTTCTTAAGTATGTTTGCCTTCAACACCCTTACTAGATCCTGGTGATACCTGCACAGGTCTGCTCCAGTCTGAAGTACTGTTTTTACAAATGTGTCTGCCAAATCTCCAGATGGTTTGGCTCTGGATGGTTTTCCCTTGTCAGAACTCCTTGAGCACTTCAGCTGGTAGTTGATGTATTACTGTGATGCAGATGGCCCCCCATCTTGCATAGTTTGCGTGGTTGTGATGCTGGTAAATCAGGTGTCAGCTCTTGGCAAGACTGTAGGTGTCAAATGAGCACTGAGCAGCTCAGCTGCATGTTAATATTGTTTGAGATAGGCATTGACTTTAATATATGCAGCAACTTACAAGCGTTTTATAATCTTACTTTTTTTGCCTCTGTCTTCACGAACAAAGTCAGCTCCCAGACTGCTGCGCTGGCCATCACAACATGGGGAGTAGATGGCCAGCCCTCTGTGGAGAAAGATGTGGTTAGGCACTATTTAGAAAAGCTGGACGTGCACAAGTCCATGGGGCCGGACAAGTTGCATCCGAGAGTGCTAAAGGAATTGGCGGCTGTGATTGCAGAGCCATTGGCCGTTATCTTTGAAAACTCGTGGCGAACGGGGGAAGTCCCGGATGACTGGAAAAAGGCTAATGTAGTGCCAATCTTTAAAAAAGGGAAGAAGGAGAATCCTGGGAACTACAGGCCCGTCAGCCTCACCTCAGTCCCTGGAAAAATCATGGAGCAGTGATCAATGGCTGTCTAGTTGGCAGCTGGCGTCAAGTGGAGTGCCCCAGGGGTCGGTCCTGGGGCCGGTTTTGTTCAATATCTTCATAAATGATCTGGAGGATGGTGTGGTTTGCACTCTCAGCAAATTTGCGGATGATACTAAACTGGAAGGAGTGGTAGATACGCTGGAGGGCAGGGATAGGATACAGAGGGACCTAGACAAATTGGAGGATTGGGCCAAAAGAAATCTGATGAGGTTCAATAAGGATAAGTGCAGGGTCCTGCACTTAGGACGGAAGAACCCAATGCACAGCTACAGACTAGGGACCGAATGGCTAGGCAGCAGTTCTGCGGAAAAGGACCTAGGGGTGACAGTGGACGAGAAGCTGGATATGAGTCAGCAGTGTGCCCTTGTTGCCAAGAAAGCCAATTGCATTTTGGGATGTATAAGTAGGGGCATAGCGAGCAGATGGAGGGACGTGATCATCCCTCTCTATTCGATATTGGTGAGGCCTCATCTGGAGTACTGTGTCCAGTTTTGGGCCCCACACTACAAGGAGGATGTGGATAAATTGGAGAGAGTCCAGTGAAGGGCAACAAAAATGATTAGGGGTCTGGAACACATGACTTATGAGGAGAGGCTGAGGGAACTGGGATTGTTTAGTCTGCAGAAGAGAAGAATGAGGGGGGATTTGATAGCTGCTTTCAACTACCTGAGAGGTGGTTCCAGAGAGGATGGTTCTAGACTATTCTCAGTGGTAGAAGAGGACAGGACAAGGAGTAATGGTCTCAAGTTGCAGTGGGGGAGGTTTCGGTTGGATATTAGGAAAAACTTTTTCACTAGGAGGGTGGTGAAACACTGGAATGCGTTACCTAGGGAGGTGGTAGAATCTCCTTCCTTAGAAGTTTTTAAGGTCAGGCTTGACAAAGCCCTGGCTGGGATGATTTAATTGGGGATTGGTCCTGCTTTGAGCAGGGGGTTGGACTAGATGACCTCCTGAGGTCCCTTCCAACCCTGATATTCTATGATTCTATGATGTCTGTATCCCATGCTATAAGGTTATGTGTAAGTTTTGATTTATAATTGTAAAAATGTCTGCTCTGAACTTGGTTCCCTAGCCCATCAAGAAGCACTATCAAGACTAAATGGGCCATTGTAGGACAAAAACTTTGTTTGCCCCATTCACCCAGGGTCTATAAAATCATGACAGGTGTGGAGACAGTGAACAGGGAAGTGTTGTTTACCCCTTCACATGACACAAAAGCCAGGGGTCACCCAATGAAATAAATAGGCAGCAGGTTTAAAACAAACATAACACAGAGTCAGCCTTTGGAGCTCGTTGCCAGAAGATGATGTGAGGCCAAAAGTATAAATGGGTTCCAAAAAAGGACTAGATCAGTTCCTGGAGGACAGGTCAGTCAATGGCTGTTAGCCAGGATGGTCAGGGATGCCCCATGCTCTGGATTTCCCTATACCTCTGTCTGCCAGAAACTGGGAATGGGCGACGGAATGGATCACTCGATAATTGCCCTGTTCTGTTCATTCCCTCTGAAGTGTCTCACACCAGCCACTGTCAGAAGACTGGATACTGGGCCTGATGGACCATTGGTCTGACCCAGTCTGGCCACTCATATGTCCTTGTAACCAACGCATTATCTAACCAGTCACTTTTTTTTAACAAAACGAAAAAAATGCCATCACCATGACTTCTGGGGCAGTTGTACTCTAACTACAAAGCATTATGTGCTATAAAATACTAAGCATGCAAGAAAATAAGCAAATGATTTCACGTATTAAAGGAAAAACAGCCTTCTGTGTAACGATTAACTTCTAACATTATGATATCTAGGTGACTAAATGCTATAAAAAGTTCAGTATTAGAGTACAACGGGTATTAGAACCATGTGTCTTCATAAAAACCATAAAAACAAAAAATATGGGGGGGGGGGGGCCCCCAAAAGTCATCTAGTCCAACCTGTCAAACACCAATTCAAAATCATCCCAGCCAGGGCTTTGTCAAGCCTGACCTTAAAAACCTCTAAGGAAGGAGATTCTACCACCTCCCTAGGTAACGCATTCCAGTGTTTCACTACCCTCTTAGTGAAAAAGTTTTTCCTAATATCCAATCTAAACCTCCCCCACTGTAACTTGAGACCATTACTCCTCGTTCTGTCATCTCCTACCATTGAGAACAGTCTAGAGCCATCCTCTTTGGAACCCCCTTTCAGGTAGTTGAAAACAGCTATCAAATCCCCCCTCATTCTTCTCTTCTGCAGGCTAAACAATCCCACCCCTTCCCCCCCCCCCCCTCATCTTTTCCCCTCTCCATTTTTTTTTTCTTCCCTTGGCTTTTCCCTTTTATTTTCACCCTTTTTTTTTTGGGTGGGGGGAAACGACAATCAAATGAGATTTTTTTTTTTTTTTTTTAAAAAAGGAATTGTGCCAAACTGTTTGATTTTGCTGACAAGTTCATGCCGATGGTGCTAGTATCTCAAATGTTTCTGGTGAATTTTGGCAGCCGTATTTGCAAGTTGGAGGGTCTAAACTTCAAAATTCAGCTTGCTAACCTCCATTTTTGAAATCAGGAGGATCAAATTATATTAGAAAAAGCCAGGCAGGACATGGCAGACAGGCTGTTTCTGCGGCTGCGTGGGTTTTGCGTTTGTACAGGTCTGTAAGTCTCCCTGTGGTGCATTATGGAGGGGAGCGCACGTGTATAAGATTCTCAGACACAGCGTTTTACAGCTTTGAGGGACAGTCAAGCAACAGGGCAGGGATGTGGGTGGACCAGGGTGGTCCTGTTGGTGTTGGGCAGATTGTGGTATCACCCCACACCATTTGCCTTCTCCCAGACTTCCATTCCTGCTGGGTTACATGAGAGCCATTGACCCAAGAGCCATCCTGGGATACTGGGTTGGAAGTGGGGGTGCAGGGAGAAGGTTGGGTTGAGGGAGAAGAGCAGCTGCAGAATGCCCGAGCGTGGGGCCTTGGGGGACGGTAAGCTGACCACCTCACGTTTCCAGTGTTCATGCAGCCCTCCTCTCTGGTGTGTATCTGGAGTCAGGACGGAGTGCCACAAGTGGGTAGCCCTATCATGCCAGCCCTGCTTCAGAGGGTAAGCTGATATTGAGGTGACGTCTGCTCCCTGGCTGCCCCATGGATAAACAGCTCTTTCCCTGGCAGTTGGTATCAGCCCATGATGCAATTCTGAGCCCCTTCTCGGAGTGGAGCGGAGCAGGGAACCCATCTGTGCTGCGGTTCCCCCTCCCGTCCAGCCTGAGGGGCTGCTGGAACCCCAGGCAGTGGCTGGTTTCTATGCTTAAGGGAGGAGGCATGTTCCTGTGGACAGAGCGCTAGGCCAGGGTCTGGGAACTCCTGAGCTCCAACTCGACTTATTTGACCTGTAGAATGGGGTCGCTGTACATCTCCTAGCTCCCAGGGGTGTTGCGTGCTCTCAGTGCTGCAGGAAACGGGCCTGCCTTCATTCTGGGGCTGAACTGTCCACCTGACTACACTGCTGTTTGGGTGTGGAGCCGGGCAGCTGGGGCCATGAGCAGATCTCTCAGCCCGCCCTGGGAGCGGGGATGGCAGCACGGGGACATCGAGTAACCATCCGGTAGGGTCTGTGAAGCCACTGGGGGCGTGGGACAAAAGTAACCATCAGTGCCAGACTGGGTGAGCAGGAAAGCGGTGAGTGCTCTGGCGGGCTGGTCCCAGGCACACTGCTGCAGGCTCTGCTCCACGCTGTGTGCTAAATGTGCTTCCCCTGGGGTCCTGGCCCTGATGTGGGTGGGGGAAGGCCCTCCCCCCAGTGGCAGTCTGAGCCCACTCTGCTTTCCCCACAGTTGCTGCGGATCGCCTTCGACGTGGAGGTGGCTTCAGAGAGCGCCGAGGTCTTCAGGAAGCACCTGCACAAGCTGCGCTATCCCCAGCACGTACGCGGCACCTTCGCCTTCACCGTGGGCCAGTCGCCCAAGCAAGCCATGCAGCCCAAGGCCAAGGAGAAAAACCCCTCACTCAGGTATCGGAGGTTCTGTGCCCCCTCGCTGGGGAGTGGGGACCTAGGCCACCCCACGCTGTGATGGGACTGAGCTGCCAGGGAGCGTGAGACCCAGGGCATTCTTTGGGTCCCTGTTTGAAACCCCCAAGGAGTCTCCTCTGCCCCATCCCAAATCCAGCTGGAAGAGAGCCGCTGAGCAGACTCCCTTCAGAGCCCGACCTCGCTCCTCTTTACCAGCCAGAGGGCTTGCTGTTGAGCAAAGCAACAGCATTCTTGGTAGCTGAGCTTGCCTCTCTCCAGGACTGGGTTCTTGGCTCACTGGCTCCAAAGCTTTTGCAGCCCAGGGACAAGAGGCCAGGATTAGATTGCAGTCACGTGCCTCGACTCCTGGCCTGGGCTCTCCGAGGCAGCACGTCCAGCCCTGAGCAGAAGGGAAGGGGGTGGCGTAGGGACCCCTTCTCAAACCTGTGAACCAGCAGCGTTAACTGTCGGGGGAATCCCCTTGCTGGTCTAATCCCAGCCCTGCAGGAGGGTGGGCAGCGCTGGGGATGATGAGAAGATCCTGTGCATGATGGGGCCCTGTTTTGTACCACCCGCGTTCTGTGACTAGCAAGTGCTGCAGCTGCTGGTGGTCTGGTTGCTGCTGCGTTGGGCTTGGTGCTGTGACGTCTAAGCGTCTCTCCTGTGTGTTTGTGACCCAGCTCCCAGCAGGTGACCGATATGTTCCAGGGCCTGGCAGTGGGTGTCATATCCCTTGGGCACCTTGGCCATTCATCCACGTAAGACACCTTCACACTGGACAGGGGCTTGCAAGGTGGCACTGGCTCAGGCTCTAGCCTTCACTGGTCCCAGTGGTTCTTCCTTTCACCCACTCTGCATGCTAAGGGCTTTGGGTCTTCCCTTGTGGTGTTCCCTTCCCTTCCCTCTCCCAGGGCTTCGGACTGGGCTGCAGGTTTAACCCCACCTTTGCCATCATGGTACAGGCTGGGCTGCAAACTTGATGCCTCTCTCCACCATTATGGTACAGGCTGGATTAGGGCCCAACCTCGCTGTGGCCATATGGTCTAGATGGAGGGTTTAGTTCCCCATATGGTCCCAAGGGGACTGTGCCCGCCCCTGTTTGCAGCTGCTGTGGAGGGTGAATCGTGGAAGTGTTTGTCCATCTGCACCATGCCCTGTGCTGGGGGCCAGTCGTGTTCCTTTGTCTCCGAGCCCCGGGGCAGCCTGAGCTGGTGGCCACAGCAGTAGGGTTAGGTGGGTGTAGCACTGACATTATTTGGACCCTCTTCGTGTCTGCAGCTGCATCTTTGGGCACCTGATCTGCACTGCAGCTCAGAGCCCCCAGAGCCTGTCCTGTGCCCTCCTCCCAAAGCCCTGCTAGCCTGCGGGAAGCGTCCGCTCCCTGCGCCCCAGGCCCCGAGGTTGCTGGGCTGCTTCTGGGGAACTGGCAGCCTCTGACAGCTCAGTCTGTAGCCAGCAGCCCCGTCTGCTGTGGAGAGGGCAGCGCTGGTGCTGCCCAGCGCCATCCTGAGGGGAAGGATGGGCCCGGGGCTGCAGGGGGCTAGCCGAGGATGGGGGAGACCCAGGTTCAATTCCCTGCTTCACCCCAGACATCCTATGTGAGCTTGGGCAAGTCTGGCCTCTGCCTCGGCTCCTCACCTGGCCTATAGGGATCAGAGTGGTGCTTGGCCTCACAGGGGGTGCGGAGAGTTAGTCGGTGCTCAGATACGAGGTGGCGGGGCCAGACCAGCACCTGAGATAGCCAGTCCTCCGCCCCCGTTGACGCTCCTGTCAGAGCTGATCCAGGATCTCCATATGGCCCTGAGGCTGGGGGCAGCCGGTGTCATTCAGCTCTGACTGATTCCCTGCCCAGTCTGACTCTGAGGGGTCCAGGCACCTCTGGGTTTCCCCCTTCATCCTGATGCGGTCGGGGGAGTAGGAGTCCCTAGTAGGAGCCGACTGGTCTCTTGGCACCCATCTCTAGCCCATGGTAACTGCCTAGCCATCCTGTCCTCCTGGGTGGGAGCCGTGTCATGGTGGTCCCCAGTCTGCTGGAGCTAGGGAGGGTAGTTTCCCCTGCCCCTCCATGGCAGGGTTAGTGCAAGTATGTCTGTGGGTGGCACCAAGGGACGCTCCTGCCTCTGCTTTGCTCATGGTCTAACTGAGTGTCAGGGTCTCTCCCTCTCAGGCTGGGCTGGGGGAGGTCTCTGGAGCCCCCCTCTGGGGGCAGGGTCCCTGTGGCCACACCATGGCATGTCAGGTCTGGGGCTGGTACCACGTTGGCCTCACGCTCCCCTGCTCTCATTCCAGGACGCTTTCCAAGAACCTGGTGAAGAACGCCAAGAAGACCATTGGCCGCCAATACGTGACCCGCAAGAAGTACACACCACCTGCCTGGGAGCATCGCAGCAGCCAGCACTTCCAGGAGGACGATGAGGATGAGATCTCAGGTTGGGAGCTTCCCTGGCAAACAGGCTGCATCCTGTGTGGGCAGCCGGGGGCGGGGGCCTTCTTGGGGCAGTGCCTCGTGGGTGAGCATTGGCGTCTCAGCCTGTCTCCTTAGCTCTGTGAGCACCCAGGAGCTGGGGTCTTCCCTACAGTATGAGGCGGCTTGGCTTGGACACCTGCTGTCACTCGCACAAGCGCAGCCTGGCTCTGTCCCCCTCTGGGGCCAAGCCACAGAGCTGCTGCAGCCTGGGAGCTCAGAACCCAGCTGGGCGGTTAGATCAGCCAGTGGAGGCTCTTGCTCTTCAATCCAGAGGCTCCTGGGTTCAGTCCCCATAGCGCCTGGCCCGTTCCTGAGTGTCCCATGACACTGGCACCCCGGTACGGAGCAGCTGTGCCCTCACCTTCCGTCACTGCTGCAGCAAGGCCAGGCCTGGGGTGCATCAGACTGTGCCCTGGCCCCAGTCTCCCTCTCCCCCTGCCGGGACTGTGGCCTCCAGAGCGACCTGACCCCGCCTCTTCCCTCTGCCTGAGCAGTGTCTGAAGAGATAGACAGGAGCACCCTGACCCCCTCCACTATCATCAAACCTTCAGACAAGATGACCATGAGCCACCTAGTAGAGCGAGCCTGCTGCCGCGACTATCAGAGGATGGGGCTGGGCACACTGAGTAACAGCCTCACCCGCTCCAAAAACGAGCCCTTCCGCATCTCCACGGTGAACCGCATGTACGCCATCTGCCGGAGGTGGGTACCTAACATGGGGGGCATCTGCCAGAGGTGGGTACCTGGGTTCGGGAGCATCTGTAGGAGGCGGGTACCCAGTGTGGGGGGCCATCTGCTGGAGGCGGGTACCTGGCTGGGCAAGGCTGGCGGGTACCTGGCGCATGGACAGCAGGCTGTCCAGGGGGCAGCCCCTTCCTCCCTGCTGCGCGATTCCCCTAGTGTGGCATGACATGGCATATGGCCTGTGCTCTCTCCTACAGTTACCCCGGGCTGCTGATCGTCCCGCAGAGCATCCAGGACAACACCATCCAGAGGATCTCGCGGTGCTACCGTCAGAACCGCTTCCCTGTCGTCTGCTGGAGGAACTCCCGCACCAAGGCCGTGCTGCTGAGATCGGGGGGACTGCATGGCAAGGGCGTTGTGGGCCTCTTCAAGTCGCAGAACACCCCTACTGCAGGTACCTGCCTCTCTGTGACGGGGGGCGCTGCGTGTGCCTCCGGGGAATGCTCCGTCTCCGGTAGCAACGTGCCGGCAGCACCCCAGCCGATAGGTTCTCCCCCAGCGCGGTGATTGTGTGTTGCTGACACCCTGGCTGTCCTTGCAGGCCCGTCGCAAACAGACTCCACCAGCCTGGAGCAGGAGAAGTACCTGCAGGCAGTGATTAACTCCATGCCGCACTACGCTGACGCCAGCGGGCGCAATACGCTCAGCGGCTTCACCTCTGCGCACATGAGTAGCGCAGGTAAGGAGGCGTGGGTCAGACCTCAGCCATGGGGCCACAGCACAGTGGGGAGAGGAGGGAGCAGGCTGGGCATGCCCACTTCCTGGGCTGGTGCTGTCAACGGGCCTATGGCTTTGGCGTCCTTCCAGCTCAGCCAGGGAGCCGGGCAGGGCTGTGCTGTTGCGGGGGGGTTCTGCCCGCCCCAAAGTGCCCCATTAGTGCACCTCTTTGGGTTCATAGTGGGCTCTGCTCAGCTCCTGCTCCCTCCTTTCCCTGTGGGGCTGTGGGGCCCAGGCACTACCAGTGTGGGGCAGGTCTCAGAAGGCCCTAAGCCCTGGGGCTCCCTTACAAGTGCTGGCTGACTTGAGTCCTTGCACCAGGGCCACCCTGGGGGCTTTGGGGCGGGTTGGGGATGGCAGGAACGGACTCTGTAAGCAGCGAGATGTCCAAGCACCTCCTGGCCGCACTGTGCCCAACGGGCAGGGCCGAGAGCACCCAGCAGCTGGGGCTTTGAGCAGCATATTCAGGTGAGTCTCATGCCCCCTGTTCCTTGTCCTGCCTCTGCCTCCCTCCTCCTGCTGCTGGGAGAGCAGGGCTGACCCAGCGCCCTGCATCCTGCACCAAGCTCCATCCCCATTCATCGCCTGTCTGCACCATCCCACACCCAGCGCAGCCCAAGCTATGGCCTGGGACCAGGGAGGTGAGGGAGCCATTGGCCAGACTCCTCCACGCCCCCAGTCTGCCTTGAAATGAGGGTGGGGGGGCTGCAGCCCACTCTGTAGGGCCAGACATAGCTGGGAGCCCCTCCGACCCCGCATCCTGGCGAGCTGCTGCTGAGTGGAGGGGCGGTGGGCAGAAGGTAGCCTGGAGCAGTGTGGGGAGAGGCTCCAGCGAGAGTGGAGGGTGTATCTGCTTTGGGAGAGGGGATGGGGCAGAGCTGGGTGGCGCACCCAGGGAGGGCACGTGCGGTGCATTGTCTGGCAGCAGGTGACCAGAGCCCACTGCTCGAGCTGCCTTGCAGCGTGGGACCCTGCCCCATGCTCCGGCCTCTGGCTCATCCCTGCTGTGGATTCCAGCCCCGGGCGCCGCCTCTTCTGCTTGCGGGGCGCATTGCTGGGGGCAGGGGAGATGCTGGGGGGACGAACAGCAAGGCCAAAAGCTGGTGTTTTGTTGGTGCTACAGATTCTTCCGACAAGAGGCAGCCCAAGCTGGGATCGCTCATGAAGCAGGTGATGGGAGGGAAGGACGATGGGCCAGGCACTATTAGCCGAGGAGGTGAGGAACGCCGGGCGTAGCTCCCTGCCTCGCAGGGCCCTCGCCCGAGAGGCCGCCAGGCCAAGGCAGCTGGCTGTAGAGTAGATGCTTCACCTTTGCTTCCCCAGGGTTCGCAGAGCATAGGGGGCAGCCCTGCCAGGAGATGGGCCTGCCCTCGCTTCTCGGGGGGGGTGCCCAGCCTCTGGCACTCGGATCACCTGGGAGCACAGTGGGCCGGGGTCACCTCATTCGTACCATTCATTGTGCTGCTCGCTCCATCTCACCCCTGGGGCACCACTCCTCCCACCCCACCCCACCCCATTCCTCCCAGCTCAGCAGCCTGTCCCCAGTGAGTGCGGCTCGGGGTGACGCGCATGGTCTGCCGCCCGTGGTAAGACTCCTTTCGTCCTGTACTTTCTCAGTGCTAGGTCCCAGAGCTAGGGTGGTCACTCTGTCCACCCCCAAGGGTGCATCGGTGAAGGGCCGCGAAAGTCCCCGAGGTACTGTACTGTCATCCGCCTAACCTGCCGGGCGCTAACCATGGTCATGTGACTGATTGCCCCATGTAACACCACACCCTTCACATGACTAACCACATGTCCCAGTAACACCCTCCCCCAACCCCCAATCAAAAGGGTAAGCTAATGAGCTGCTGCACGCTAACGACTCTCTGCAGCCTGATCTGGCTTGTCTGTCTTATCACTTATCACTGAATGGCTTGTCTTACCACAGTTCCTGGTGCCGCAGGTAAGTGCGGCCCCCAGCTGATCCTGGAACAGGCTCTCAGGTTTGCTTTAGGCACCTCACACATCTGCCAGTGCTTGGGTACCGGGAGCGGGAGTTATCTGGTCAAGGGACGGGGGGTGCAGTGCACAGGGACAAGGGGAGAATCCCCCGGAGCAGCCACCAAGGGCCCCGCAGTGCCACGGGCAGATTGGTGCCGCTCGCTGAGCCAGTGGGGCTGGGCAAGGCAGGGCGTCCGTCCAGAGAGGGTAATCTCAGCAGTGCCTGTGGGAAGGACAAAGGCTCCAGAGCTCTGACCCTGGCGGGCCCCAGCTGCCCAAATCCACATGCTGGCAAGTCGGGGGAGTGAGAAGCAAATCTGATCCCCCGAGTGCACATGGAATCTGGGCTGGGGGCCGGAGCAGCTCAGCGGGGGTGCCTCAAGGAGGAGAGCTGCTTGCCCCCTGAGCTGGATGTCTGGGAGAAGGCAGAAGGTGACAGGGCAGGCTGGAGGCCACGAGGCCTGGGAGCCAGCTGAGTGGGCCATGGCAATGACCTTGCCCTCTCTTGCAGGCAAGTGGGGCAGCATCCGGGCCAGTGGGCGCATGAGCAACTACGTTTTGAACATGGAAATTGGGTCCCGCCTGGCTGGGAAGGACCTGGTGAGCGCTCAGCACAACGGGGCCCCCTCTGAGGCCAGCTTCCTGCGCCAGCACCGGGCCTCCCTCTACATCATTGGGGACAAGTCGCAGCTGAAGGTAACGGCCCAGTGACCAGGAAGCATGTGGGGCAGGGAACTGTCTGAGCTGTCAGCAGCGGAAGGTGCTCAATGCGTGGAGCTGCTGGGGACTGTCGGGGAGGAGTGGTAGCTTCATGGGGGGCGTCCCCCCTGCAGCCAGGACCGGTGTAGGGAAAGGAGGCCCACTCCAGCGACAAACCCCCTCTGGGCTCGCAGCCCGGCAGCCAGGCTCCCCCTGGACAGCGCCCCAGAGCGATCTGTGCAGCTACAGCTGTTCCTAGGCAAAGCCCAGGCGTGGCGTGGGGAACCCGCTGCAAAACAGGGGCTCCGTGAAGGGAAGGGTGGGCAAACGGGAGTGGGCCTAGTGCTGCCCAGTGTGCGTTCACCTGGGCTGCCACTTTCACCCTCTGCCCAGGGAGCGAAGCCAGACCCGTTGCAGCACTGGGAGGTAGTGCCCATCGAAGTGTTTGACGTGCGGCAGGTGAAGGCCAGCTTCAAGAAGCTGATAAAGGCCTGCGTGCCCGGCAGCCCCTCAACAGACCCCAGCCTCACGTACCTGCGGACCCTGGAGGAGTCCGAATGGCTGTCCCAGGTCAGTGTGCTGGGTCTTGGGCTGGGCAGTGTAGGACAAGGGCTGTCGCGCAGACCCAGGGCCAGATCTGTCTCCACACCTGGGATCCTACAGTATGAGGGGAGCTGGTGCTTGAGGGCAGTTGCTAGTGTGTGTCACAGGAACCCCAAGGTGAGGGTTAGTTGCTGGGTCACTGGGGCAGGATCCAAGCATCATGCCAGGTTTGAGTCAGTCATAGGGTTTACGGCCAGAAGGGACCAAACCATCTCATCTGACCTCCAGTCTATCCAGGACACCAGCACCTGCAGGGTGAGCCCGCCAGCCAAAATTCTACCGAGGTATTTTAGTAGACTAGCCTATGGTATGCCACGGGCAGAGAGACTAGGAGGGACTGAAGCCCACCCCTGCCTGAGGCCCCCACAACGGTGGGAAATTATTGGAGATACCCTCTGATGATCCTGGCAAGTGATCCACACCCTAGGCTGCAGGGGAAGGAGGAAACCCCCAAGGTCTCTGCCAGTCTGACATGGGGGAACATTCCTTCCCAGCCCCACAGACGGCGATCAGTTAGATCCTGAGCAGGATTGTACATTGTGTCCAACATACAGCCAGCCATGTGCCAGAGGGAGAGTGCTTGGCGCCATCTCAGAGCTGTCAGTGGGAACTGTCATGGAACGTAGTGGTTCCAGTGCGGCCCGGCAGGGACCGGTCCTAAGCCGATTCTTTTCCACGTTTCCCCAGTGATCTGGTGAAACTGGTGGGTGACAGAGCGGTAGAGTGCTGTGTCACAATGAGAAGGGCGATCGGGATCGCTTGGTAAGCTGGGCCCATTCAAAATGTGTTTAAATACAGCTAATGGCAGAGTTACACACCTAGGACAAGGAATGTGGGCCTCACGTGCAGAGTGGGGCTTGGCTTCTGGAAAGGAGCTAGGGGTCATAGTGGACAAGGAACTCAGTGTGAATTCCCAGTGTGATGCTGGGAGCAGAGACTCCGAGCAGGGAGGTGATTTTACCTCTGTACATGGCCCTGGTGAGACCATTCCTAGGATACTAGGTCCAGTTCTGGGGTCCACATTTTTAAAAGGTTGCTGGAAAATTGCAGAGGGTGCAGAGAAGAGCCACAAAAATGATTGCAGGGCTGGAGAAAATGCCTGACAGTGAGAGACTTATGGAGCTCAATCTGTTCAGCTTGTCAAAAAAGAACAAGAAGTGAAATGATTGTGCTGATTAGACCCTTCTTGGGGAGAAGATGCCAAGCTCTAACGGGGTCTTTGATATAGTGGGAAAGACAGAACAAGAAGCGGTGGGAGCCAGACAGCCTCCAAGTAGAAATAGGGCACTATTTTGAACAGTGAGTGGGGGGGATTAACCCCTGGAACAAGCTACTGCGGGAAGTGCTGGGTTCTCGTTCCGTTGGTGTCCTCAGATCCAGACTGGATGTCTCTGGAAGGAGCTTCCCCAAAACACAGGCTCTTGGAGTCAGTACACACGTAGCTGGGAGAGATTTAACACCCTGGGCTATACGGGAGCTCAGAGTAGATGATCCAATTGTCCTTTCTAGTCAGTGCATGCACCCCCGTGCTGGTGAGTATGGGGTTCCTGCCAACTCCAGTCTGGCTAGGTACACGCCCTCCAGTCCAGGAAGGGACCTGCTGGTGGGAGCTCTCCCAAGAGCAAAGCTGCTGGGACTGGCTGGCTCCTGAGGCCTCTGTCACAGATCTGGCCAAGCTCCCACAGCTAGATGCTCTCTGGGCCTCTGTGCAGGGATCCAGATGCTGACTGCCATGTGCCCTGTGCATGCTGGGGCTGGACAGAGGCTAGGCACTGTCTCTGCTCTGGGCCTCTAGGCACACACATGGCCTCAGATCTTGTGTCTGACTCTCCTCTTGGCAGTAGGGACCGCACGGCCCAATCGCCTGGGCCCTGAGACAAGTGCTGTCTGCCCGAGGCCAGCCCAGGTTCTTGGTGAGTCTGGTATTGGCGTTTGGGCAGGGACCCATGTGTCTGAGTGGAGCCATTCCCTCTCCCCCTGTTCTCTGGATGTCCGGCTCCAGTCAGCGCCTGCACATCTACCTGGGGGAGAGGGGTTCTACATAGGCTCCTAAACAGCCTGAATCTGGGCCCTTGATGGCCCGCACGCTGCTCCTCATTAGGTTGGACAGGGGAGTGTTGCTGAGGGCTGCTCTCTTTGAGTGGAGGGGTGTGGCGTGAGAGTTTCATTCACACACAGCTCTCTGGGTTTGGGGTCATTCTGTTCCCTTCGCAGCCCCATTCCTGCCCTGCAGTCTCCTCAGGTCCAGGGGACTGGTCAGTCTGAGCCTGGAGGACACTTCATTGTTGTGTGCGACAGTAGGGTCTGGACTCTGGTCATGTACCACCTCCCCATATGTACTTCAGAGGCTCTGGCCTGCCAAGCTCACCAGCCTTCTGGGAAAGGCTGTTCCCCTGTTGTCCCCTGCTCAGGGCCAGCCCTGAATTCCCCCTGCCGATGTCTAGTTAACCTCTTGTGCTGTGTCTGCAGATCCACAAGATCCTGCAGGTCTCCGTGCTGGCGGTGGAGCTGCTGGATACAGGCTCCTCTGTGCTGGTCAGTTTGGAGGATGGCTGGGATATCACCACGCAGGTAGGAGTCAGAGCCCTGCAGCAACCGGCTGGCATGGTCTGGCCTCTCTCCCAGCTGTTGGCTTGAGGTCCCAGCCCCTGTGGGGCATGACTCTGGCCTCCTCCCTCCTGCAGGTGGTGTCCCTGGTGCAGCTGCTGTCAGACCCCTACTACCGGACAATGGAGGGCTTCCGGCTCCTCGTTGAGAAGGAGTGGCTGTCCTTTGGACACCGCTTCAGCCACCGCGGAGCCCAGACCCTCGCCGGTCAGAGCAGCGGCTTCGCTCCTGTCTTCCTGCAGTTCCTGGACTGTGTCCATCAGGTGAGCTCTGAGCAGCTGGGGTGTCGGATCTCAGCGCAGGGTTAACCTGTGTCCTGGGCCTCTGGCCAGTGGAACCCAGGTATAGAGCCAGCCCATGCCTTGCATGGAGCTGCAGATCCTGCGGGGGCTGCCCCACCAATGCTCTGCTAGGTGGAGGCTGGTGTCCATTTGGCAATACGCTCGTCTCTCTGCAGATCCACCTCCAGTTCCCCATGGAGTTTGAGTTCACCCAGTACTACCTGAAGTTCCTCAGCTACCACTACGTCTCCAATCGCTTCCGCACCTTCCTGCTGGACTCGGACTACGAGCGGATCGAGCTGGGTAAGGGATCTGGGCCCCGGGCCCCATCACCAATGGGCAGTTCTGTCAGCTCAGCGGTCTCTCTCTCTCTTTCTCTCTCTCTCTCCATCCCCGTAGGCCTCCTGTATGAGGAGAAGGGCGAGCGGAAGAGCCAGCAGGTCTACAAGTCCATCTGGGATTACATCGACCGGCTGAACAAGAAAACCCCTGTCTTCTTCAACTACATGTACGCCCCCGAGGATGGTGAGGTGAGCCTGCTTGGCTGGCCGGAGACGCCAGGGCCAGACATAACCTTTGCCTCCCACAGCCCAGTGCACAATCCAAGGAGACCTCCCTCCACCCCACTGCTTGGAGGGAACGAGGCAACCCAGCTCTGGGAGTGACACAGAACAGGGGCCCAAACCTCGCCTTTCCCAGGGGGGCCCCAGTCAGCCTGAAATGGAGGAGATAGCAGTGCCCTTCCTCTTGAGTACAGAGACCAGGGATCCCAATATCCAGTGCAGCCTGATCCCCATTGAAGGACCCTGGTTTTCTCAGGCCGCGCCTCCATGTGGCTGTGGGGTATATTGCTAATCTCCAGGGGCATCCCGAGTGAAAAGCAAACCCTCCTGGGGCCATGTGGGGAAGGGACTTGGGAAGCAGCAAAGTCAGCGGGTTTAACCAGCTGGGGTTGCAGGATTGCCCTGCTACGGGGCTGGGGACAGCTATATGACCACCCCTGAGCACTAGGAATGGAGTCAGCCCTCTGAAATCGGGAGACGTCGTAATCTATGAACCAAAATGAAATGTTTTCGTTTGCTCCGGCTGGTGGAAGCCTGGCCGGCCAGCCTGGTGCCTTGGTTTCCCTCCGGAGTTGGGACACAATCGACATGTTCCAGTGGAATGACTGGACGCAGTCTAACCAGCGTTTTCTGAGGGAAGGGCTCCACTTCTCATCTCTCCGCCTCTGTCAAGGACCCAATTCTTACACCGGTGTGACTGCCAGAAAGCACTTGTGCTTGCTCACTGGCCCTGCCCTCCATGCACAGCTGCAAAGTGACCCCATTGTTCTCACTGTAGGGCCTGGTTTTAACTTGGTGGGACATGCAGGAAGTCAGTCACCTGGCCAGCTGGTGCCTAAGGGTGCTCACTGGGTGCCCCTTACCCAAGGGCACTGTAACAGGCTGCCGTTACAGCTGTGTTCTGGGCACTGAGTACCAGCTGGGCAAAGTACAGAGAGGCCCAGGACGGCCAGCCAGCCTGGGAGCCTGCTCTGCTGTTTCTGCCTCTGGCCCGTGCACCGCAATGTGATCTTGAGCCAGGGGTGGGGGGCATGCTGCAGCATGGGGAGCAGGTGCCTAACATGCTGGCCTGGAGCCAGAGTCTGTCCAGGGTTCGGCAGAACCGTATGGGGATGACTTGCTTCCCAAAGATGCCGGCCCTTTGGGACCCCCTCCTGCTGCTGGATCCCCGGCCGGGCAGCACAGTTCACCACCTTTCTGGCCATTGTGGCCTCGGGGCTGTTTCCTGTAGCGCCGGGGGCTGCCAGGCCCTGCCTGAGCACTTCCCGGCCTGTTTCGTAGGTGCTGAGGCCCTACAGTAACATCTCCAACCTGAAGGTGTGGGACTACTACAGCCAGGAGGTCCTGTCCGAGGGCCCCTCCTACGACTGGGAGCTGGCGCAGGGGCAGCCAGAGCAAGTGGAGGAGGTAGATCGGCAGGACTCCAGTGCCCCGCAGACCAAGCGCAAAATCATCTGGCCGTGTTACGACAACCGCAGCCGAGTGGAGCCCGATGCCATCTCCAAGCTGCTGGAGGTGTGTGTGGCGTGGGGGAGGGGCCCTCCCCAAATGAGAACATAGAACACCCAGACTGGGTCCGTCTAGCCGTGTCCTGTTTTCCGACAACAGATGGTGCCGGGTGTCCCAGAGGGAATGAACAGAACAGGGCAATTTATCGAGTGATCCATCCCCTGTCGCCCATTCCCAGCTTCTGGCAGTCAGAGGCTTAGGGAAACCCAGAGCATGGGGTTGCATCCCTGACTATCTTGGCTAATAGTAACCTGTCCTCCAGGAACATTGATCTAAATTTTTTTGAACCCTGTTATACTTCTGGCCCTCACAACATGCCCTGGCAACAAGTTCCACAGGCTGACTGTGTGTTGTGTGAAGAAATATTTCCTTGTGTTTGTTTTAAACCTGCTGCCTGTTAAAGTCATGGGTGACCCCTGGTTCGTGTGTTACATGTAGGGGTAAATAACACTTCCTGGTTCACTTTCTCCACATCATTCATGGATTTTATAGGCCTCTATTGTATCCCCCCTTGTCATCCTTTTTCTAAGTTGAACAGACCCCGTCTTGTTCCTCTCTCCTCACGTGGAAGCCGTTCCAGCCCCTGAACCATTTTTGTTGCTGTCCCTGCACCTTTTCCAATTCTAATAAATCTTTTCTGAGCTGGGGCAAGCAGATCCGCACACAGTGTTCACGGGGTGGGTGTGCCAGGCAGAAACCCACACCACCAGGCTGGATCAACCACTGCTCCCAGCAGGCCCCTTGCAGAGCCCCCCGGCACTCCCATCTGCACTGAGACTGCCCATGCCGTCTCCTCCCCACTCCAGTCTCTGATCACTCCTGGCAGGGATCGTCTGTGCGCAGCATGTGTGGTCACAGCTCCTGAATTCCTGGGGCAGGGCGGGGGTGTGGGGTCTTTCCCCCTCTGCAGAATAACCTCTGACTCCTCCCGCAGGAGCTGCACAACCTGGAGGCGGAGCTGGGCCAGGTGCCGGAGTGCTGGAAGGACGCGTGGGACAAGGTCAAAGCCTCCCAGCGCACGGAGACCCGGCAGGAGGTCAGCAGGGTAGGTCTCTGAGCTGTCCGTGTGACAGGGTCCTGAGAGCCAGGTGCTGGGCCGGCAGCCGTGGTGCCTGAGTTGCCCAAATCCCCGCTTGCTCCGGCACTTGGCCTAGGGCTCCTGGCTCTGCCCCCAGCTGCCTGCGTGGCCGAGGAGGGGCTGACAGTGCCCTGTGCCCAGGCTCAGTGGATCTCGTGATGACGAGACAGCGCCAGTGGGGGTGGGAGGGTCCCGTGCCCTCATTTCCCTGCTCTGTGCTCTGCAGATGGCGTCCAGTTCCCTGCTGATGTCCTCCAGCCTTGTGCCCCACCGGCGCTCGCTGGGGGTCTACCTGCAGGAGAGCGGCGTGGGCTCCACCCTCAACCTCAGCCTGGACAGCGACACCAGCAGCCCCTCCGCCCCGTCCAGTGGGAAGCAGGGGGGCCGCAAGAGCACCAGCAACCTCTACAGCCAGTTCCAGATGTCAGAGAGCGAGAACAGGTGAAGGGAGCTCTGGCTGCCTGGGGGGAGACGGCCAGGCCAGGCCCGGCCCCGTGGTCAGCAGTGAGCCCTATTGCTTGGGGTGGGGTGTGGGTCCCATGGGACCAGCCCTCTGCAGCTCAGCTGATTCAATCTCTGGCTGCTGGGAGCCGAACCCGCTGGTCCATCCCCACTGGGCTCTCGCCCGCCGGTGTCCAGCAGCGAGGCGCTAACCCGCTGTCTGGCTGCCCGCAGGTCCTACGAGGGGACGCTCTACAAGAAAGGAGCCTTCATGAAGCCCTGGAAGCCCCGCTGGTTCGTGCTGGATAAAACCAAACATCAGGTACTGGAGGGGCTGAGAAATGGGCCGCGCTGCCGGACGAGGGGAATAGCTCGGGACTCCGGGGCACCGGCTGCAGCGGGCACTGGCTGACGCACGGCACCTTTCCTTGCAGCTGCGGTACTATGACAACCGGAATGACACGGAGTGCAAGGGGGTCATTGACCTGGCAGAAGTGGAGTCTATCACCCCTGGCACCCCCACCATGGGGGCCCCCAAGACAGTGGAGGAGAAGGCCTTCTTCGACGTGAGTCCCCAGCCCAGAGAAGCTGGATCTCGGTGCCGGGGGCGGGATGGGGGGGTGATGCTGGCTGGGGCCGGGCCGGGGCCAATCAGCTGGGCACCAGTTCTGCGTTGGACAGCGAGGCCTGGACTCTTGGGCTCCTGAGTTGCGCTGCCCGCAGGAGTACAGACTGTGCCAGGCACTTGCCAACTCCGGCTGGAGCCAAGTTGGGTATCCAGGAAGGTGCCAGCCCCCAGCCAGTCCTGCCTGCCCATCTCCCCAGGTGGGGACCCGGGGCCCCAGCAGCCTGGGCTGCCTCTCCCGCCCCCTGGCAGACGCCGGGCCTCAGCTCTCGTCTTTTCTCCCTGTAGCTGAAGACGACGAAGAGAGTTTACAATTTCTGTGCCCAGGACGTGCAGCTGGCCCAGCAGTGGATCGACCGCATCCAGAGCTGCTTGTCGGACGCGTGAGCCTGGCTCAGCAGCAGCCCCCGTTCCAGGCACCGAGCCCCCGGGCCCTGGCGCGTGAAGCAGAGGCAATGCCCAGGGTTAGCACCTGAGCTGGCCCAGGTCTGACTGACTGAGGAGGAGGTGGCCGGAGGCCTGACTCTCCCCCACTGCCAGGGGCACATCATACCGCAAAGCCCCAGGCCCCCTGCGTGCTCAAGGACAGAAGCAGGGGTCAGGGCAGGATCAGTCTGTTACACTATGGTAGGAACTGTCCAGTGCAGGAACTAATTGCATTGAAGTGTCAGGCTGGGGCAGTGGGGAGCCATTCTCACAACCCCCACTAAGCCTGTCTGAGCCACATAATTACCGGCTCTCACCCCTGGCAGGACACGGGCCTCGGGTCCCCGGCTGGGCAGCACAGCTCCCACCCCTGGCAGGACACGGCGTTTGTCTGAGCAGTGCTCTGGTTCTCTTGTGAATGCTGCCGTGGGGTTTTACTGGCCTGTTGCTGGGAGAGGCTCCGGGAGGTGCTGTGCATTGAACCCGCCACCCCCACCCTGTGCCATTGGGGAGCAGCTGGAGCTTTCCCCAGTTACCCCTCTGCACGCCCAAGAGCTGCCCGTGAACTTGCACATCCAGTCTGTAAATCCACGTGACCCAGACTGTGCTCTGCTGACCTGCCGCCAGCCCCTTGGGGCGCTTGGCCCAGCCCTTGTGAGCTCAGGGTTAGCCTGTCCAGCCAGACCAGAAGAGAGCTCCATGGATAGGAGGCTGAGAGCGCTGGGACCATCCTGCCCACCCCAAGTCCAGCAACTGGGCCAGATCCCGCCCTGGGGACAGGCACGATCTCTGCTGGCAGTGTCTGGGCACCAGTGAGGGCTGCCTGCCTATCCCAGCGTGGGGAGAAGAGGGACCTCCTCCCTGTCCTGCTCTGGTGGGATGGGTGGTCTCTCATTAGCAGTATTGTAGCTTTAGAGTCAGCCCCTCTTCTGGTCTGCCCCTAGCAGGGGAGGGGGGAGACTGAGGCCTGGGACCTTCTTGACCCAGCCATGTCCCGCCTGCTGTCATGGGACTTGGCTCTGGCACAGCCCTGGAGCCCCCCTCCCTCTCCTTGCAGTGACTGTGGGGAGAGGACGCTGTGTGGCTGGGTTCTGGCGGGCCCCTTGCTCCCAGAGAGGCTCCCTGGGGCGAGTGGTAGAACAGGATAATGAGGCCAGTCCCAGGGACTGTCCACAGGAGCAGTGTGGCATGAGCCCCTCACCTACCAGCCTTGCTTTGGGCTCGCCAGCCACGTGGCCCAAGCTTGGAGATCACAGCATAGAGCTGCTGCCTTTTCTCTGTCAGCTCTCGGGGCTCTCCCCTGCTTTGCAGCCCCAGCCCCTGCAGCTTGTGCTTGGATCGCTGCAGCCCCAGCCCCAGCCCCGTGGCATGCAGCGGCAAATCTCCATGCAGCCACTGTACGCCAGCTGCAGAGCGAGGCCTCCACTCTGAGCTGGGATGTGCCCCAGCCTCCATGGGGGCTGACCTCAGCTCCTTGAGATCCCCAGAGTGCAATGGAGCCATCGTGCTGGGGTGTTCAGGGCTCAGCTCCTGACCCCACCTGAGCTGTGTACCAGGGACAACCTTGTACTTCAGTCCCTGCTCTCTAGCACCTCCACTGAGCCCAGCCCTGCTGCCCTCCCCAGCCCGCTTCCTGCTGTAACTTATTGTCAGTGCAAAGGTGGAATCATGAGACTGAGGCGATGGCATCTCTGGTACAGAAACAAATCCTTTATCCTCCCCGTTTGCACCGTGGCAAGCTTAGCCCCCAGCAGCTCACATGCTAGAGCCGTGTGCTTGTCCCAAAACCCAGCGGGCACCTGTGTGTGGTCCCCTGGGGCTAAGGAGCTGCCTGTTCACAGGAGCCCGTACCTGGCCTCGGTAGCACCCCCCATCGGTTAGAGTTCACCACCTTCCTGCCATTGCTCCTTGGGCCTGGGACCTGCCCTTTCCCTCCCCCCTCCTGCTGCTCAAAACCAGGGTGGCTGACCGTTCTACCTGTCTTGTTTTTAAAGGAGTACCATGTTTTATTTCAGTGCAGAGCTCTTTGTACAGTCTTAACCCCAGGGTCCCCTCTTCCTTTCCCTGTATGATAATGGCAGTGGCAGGGAGCTGGTGCAACAGGGAGGTTTTTGTAACTTCCCGGAGCAGTTGTAGATTATTGAAGTTTCTGTACATTGTGTCAACCATACAGAGTCCTTGTATTGTATTGTGCCTAGAGGGAAAATGTTGTTATATAAAGAGAGAACTAACTGAATTTAATAAAAAATTAATATGCATATTTGCTTGGGCTGCATGGCACACGGGCCTTCCCAGAGCTGGGTTCAGTTCCAGAAGCGATTCCCTCACATGGCCCCCCCATTGTTCACACATGACTCCCAGGCTGGTGGGGAGAGTCCAGCTCAAGGTGCACCCGCAGTGGTTGGGGCTAGAGAGGGAGCAGAGCGCTCGCTGCTTGTCTTGTTGTGCAGGTTTGTATTCGTCATTTCACAGTCCCTCTGTCTCTCCGTGTTGGCAGTAACCAGAGCATCGCCCTGCTCCTCTCCTGTGCTCTCCCTCATGACATTGCTTTTGTATGTGCTCCACTCCTGAGTCACAAGCCCCAGAACTGTGGGTAGGAACAGACCTGATATGGGGGTTCATGTGTCCACCAGGAATCCAATACAGAACAGTGGGTGTAAAAGGTGCATCCCCGGCTCCCCTTAAATAACTCATTTGGCCTCAGCTGCCAGCAAACATCTCCCACCCAGGATTTGTGTGCATCTTGCTGAGCCAAGAGAGGTTTCTTGGTCTTGCCATATTCTCTGTTTGGACACTGGATGCACCAGTAAAGAGGCTCTATAGCGTGTACTTCCCCCTCAATAGGCGGAGGCGTCAGCACCCAAAAGCTGCAATCTTTGCGGCTGGCCATGGCATCTAAATATCACCTGGATCAATCGGTGTCATGGATCAGTCCCATGAGGCCTGGTCTTGTTCTCCATCCCTACAAGGAAGAAGCAGAGGGAAGCATTTTGAGATATTTGACCCCCTGAGAGATGTTCTAACTCCAAGAGGTCAGATGCTGGACCGTAGCATCGCCACAGAGCTGCATCTGTTACCGTGGCAGCTTAGTCCTGCAGAGTCAGCTGAGGATGCCCAAGCACTTATCACCCAGTTAGTCATGTTCATGGTATTTCAATGCAGAATGACTCAGGACTGCTCCGTTTCTGCTATCCAGGTCTCTGAACCCTGTGTGCTTAGAGCAAAGCTTGGACTACTCTACGGAGGTTTTCCTCCAGGTCCAGCTTTTCTACTCCTGCTGTTCGCTCCAGGGTGGAGCCATTCTTCTTTGGATTAGCTTTGTAGCTGCCTGAATATTTCTGCTACAAAAGTCTCTTGGCTCAGCTGCACTTCCTTTTTTCCCCCTCAAGAGACCTGTTAGCAGAAGTGTTTGTCTCTTGGGCTTTGTATCCCTATGGCTTGTGGATTACACACTCAATATGGTATCACGATCCTTCCTTTAAGACTATGGGAGGATGGTCTTCTGAGTCCAAGAGGGATAATGGTGGATTCTTGTGTTTCAGGGCAATTAATTGGATTTTATTCCTGGTGTTTTCTCATCCTGAAGATACTGCTTCGGTCTATGCACAAGCTGAATATAATATAACATTGCTCTTAGGAAACACAATTGTTCCAGGTTGGAGCTCTCAATCTCAGATGCCTACTTTTGCATCTTTAAGGTTACAGGAATATTCAGGATGGAAAGTGACCACTTCTAGTACAAGGTGCTCCCATGTTTGCTGTCTAGATTTCCAAGGAGATATTCACCCAGTTGGTGAATATCTTTCTTAGACAACTAAGGGCTCATTAATTTGGAAATCCAAAAGAACTAATGCTCTACCTCAATGGGCTGGAGGTTTGAGCTCTGTCACCGATTTCCTTCCATTCAGCAGCACGCACTCTCTCCAGAATCAGCATGCCACAGCCATGGTTTATTTAAACTATCTGGAAGCATTTAATTCCCCCCGTATTGGATTCAGTAAGCAGGAGTAGAGCACTGGGTGGCAGGCAAATCTCACGCCTTGGTGCCTGTGTTACTTTCCCAGGGTGAGGAAACTGAAAAAGGAAAAGGGCAACCAATGATCTACTTGGTTTGGCCCAAGTCCAGCTGTGTGAGGTTTTGCTTCAAGGCAGTAAAAAGAACCACATGCAAAATGGGATGCTTGCTTCTGTAGGCAGGGAAAGGCCCCTTCCTACATCTCCACCTCCCTGCAAAGTTGGGAAGTGAAATCAGAGCGATGCCAGAGAGCATGGTGGATGTGGGAGGACTCTGCTGGTCCCTCTAATTCTAGAGCGTAAATCTCTTCGGTGAGAGGCTTGGTTGCTGAGTGCCCAGCAGAGAGAGCTGAATTTTATTTTTAAGTCTGGTCTGGGGGCCAAGCTATTAATTTAGGACTTTACTTCCCCAGAGAACGCCCACTGCTGACAACGTGAGGTGCACAAAGAAAGAGCAAGGAGGAGAACATGGCTTGTATGTGATTTATAGATTCCAGGAGAGACCATTGTGATCATCCAGACCTGCCCCATAATGACTCCTAGAGCAGAACTTTTAGAAGAACATCTAACCTTGATTTTTAGAATTGCCAGGGATGAAGAATCCACCAGGACTCATGGTACATTATTCTAATGTTTGTTTAACCTCACTGTTACAAATTAACACTTTATTTCCAGTCTGAATTTGTCTAGCTTCAGCTTCCAGCATTTAGATAGGGTTAGATCTTTCTCTGCTAGAAGGAAGAGCCCATTATCATGTCTGTACTTACAGATTAATCAAATCAACCTTCTCTCTAAACTAAATCGATTGAGCTCTTAAGTTGATTTGCTCAGGCCCTTGGCTCACTTGTAAGACTACTGGTTCTGCCCTGTCTCTCTGCTAAACTATTAAAAATCATTAGCACAAAAATACCTTGGAACAGAATGTGAAGGATAGAAAGTTTAAAGCCAGGTTTGGATGTATCACCGGCTTGGCATTTTGGAGGAGATCAAAGTTTCATGATCAACCCTCCCCCACTAAAGTTATACTTTGCAGAGACAATGTTTCATACTCTTATGTTGCTGGGTTGTAAATTAACTGATCAGGAAAGAAGCCTAGATATTGTCACGTTCACTTAACCCCTGCTTAATCTGCTAAATATGCACAAGGGATAGGAGAGGAAAAACCAGTTACCTACCTCTTATAACTGTTGTTCTTCAAAATGTGTTACTCGTGTCCATTCCAGGTAGGGGGGTTGTGTGCGCAGCTGCCAGGTTTTTTTTCCCCTAGCAGTACAAGTCAGGTTGGTCCAGGCACCCCCTGGAGTCATGTCTTCATGGCACCATATCTAGGCCCCTGCCAACCCACTGCTGGTTTTGTTCTGACAGAGGGGCGGCGGTTAGCTCTTGGAAGGGACATGAGCAACACATCTCAAAGAACAAGTTAGGAGAGGTACACAATTGTTTTTCTTCTTTGAGTGCTTGCTCATGTCGATTCCAATTAGGTGACTCCCAAGCCAGAACCTTGCAGGCAGGGTGAAAGTTCATGGATTCACTGGTTGAAACACTGTCCGAGGCAGCTGCTGCTGCTGCTGGAGATGGTGATTCGGTCTGACCCAGCCTGGCCGTTCCTTGGCAGAGGTATAAGCCAAAATCGCAGATAAATCAACCCTGATGTAACAGGTTCCAGGGTGAGGAATTGAACAATAGTGAGGAGTAACCTGTTCCTAGGAGAAGTTTCTTGTCATCCAACCACTAACCAAGGGGGGGTGGTTAGCTGTAAAAATATGTGATTGTGAGTTCTCATGTCTGATTCTTTAAAAACAATTCTACTAAGCACCTGCTGCCACCAACTCTCAGTGCAGCTGAGCTCCAGGGGGTGATTATGCAAGTGTTAAAAATTCCCATCACCTTCACCTGCTCTAGGCCATTCATTTCACACCAACTAAAAACAGTATTAACCCCCCCACCACCAGCAGTGGTTTCCAGCCTGCTTAAGCGTTCCCAAGGGAGCCACCAATGGAAAAAGGTTGAAAGCCACTGGGTATATGACCAGACCACTGCGATTTCCTTCAGGACCCAGCAGGTGGTGATAAACTGATTTCTAAGCCGTCCATTTAACAATGCACCAAGCCATGGTGCGTATTGAGGCTGGGAACTCTAGGAGTCGCATTGCAGACTTTACACCTTTGAGCACTTCTGCACCAGCTAATAATACTGTGCAACTCTCATGCTGCATGGGAGGGTGGGAATGCAGCCGATCTCTTCACAGCCAGTGAGGTCAGTTGATTGCAGAGCTCCCCAACCCATCACTGGAGACCCCTAGGATAAAAACACAATACAAAGAAACAAAGGGGAGCCTGAACACACTCTGTTCTGTATCATCTCCTTGGTCAGATTCAGAGTTTCCAAAGCCAGCAGGTTTCAGAGGAACAGCCGTGTTACAGTTTACACTAACAACAGGAGGCCAGGACTGGGGAGATTACCGGCAAGTCTGGGTGCAAAATGTGCAACATGAGACGGTCAAGAGAGCAGAGAGCGCGCCTGGGGCTTGAGAAATCCACCGCGCTCAGTGAGACTTTTGAGTTTTTATTGATAGTTGGAATTTACAACCTAAAACTGACAACAGAGAGAGAGATGCAGACGTGGTTTTTTCTTTTCTTTTTTTACCAAAAAAACCCCCAAACAAAATAACCCAAACCCACCAGCATCAGTTTTACAATATAAAAGTTTTGACAGTAGAGAGACGACAGTACACCCGGAATTACTCAGAAAAACAGCAGGGAGGAAAAGGCAGTCATTTTAAAACTTTGTACCTCAGATATACACATAAATACACAAACATTGCTTACACAGACCCAGTTTCAACATTTAAGGGCAGTAGGCATCATGAGAAACTAAAAGGCTCCCCCCTAAATCATTGCACTAATTTAATCCGCACACATCAGACCCCTCCCTTTGCCGCCCCCTCCCCCAAATAGAGGAAAGGCCACTTGAAATTAAAAATGAACTGGGTATCCCCAGTAACTGAGCCCTCCCTCTGAGTCACTGGTGAAGGGACCCTTAACCCAGCCTGTACCAATTACCTCAGCTTGCTATTCTCCCAGCTCCTCCTCTCTGCAGGCAAGTGTTTTATTGCTATTTGGAGTGTGTCTCAGGGAGAACAGTGGCATTTTAGGGTGGGTTCATTTTTATGCAGACTCATCCTCCTAGTCCTGACTTCTAGTCCATCTGCATGAGGTGGTGACATCTCACGAACAAGCTCTGG